TATCAAAAGGTTCCACGATCTTTGGATTAATAACATATATTTCAAGTTTCATCACAATTGGATGTAAATTTTGACTTCTAGAGTGTCCTCAACCTTGGTATTACATACTTTTACACTATTTGTGTACAAGGAGCGGCCATTTTGTCTGACAGTTTCGGTCAGATTTTTACGAAATTCTAACCCAACCTTCATTGATGTGTAACGGTATTTACAATTAAATACAAATTGTGACTTCTAGCGGGTCCACATGCCAAAAACGTGATTTTTCGTACAATCAGAGGCCATAATTCAGGAAGTTACGATCCGATGTGCACGAATATCGAAAGGAACCAAGATCTTTGGGTTATAAACATGCATTTCAAGTTTCAATAAAATCAGATGAAAATTGTAACCTCTAGAGTGTCCACAGGCTAAAAACTTGATTTTTCGTACAATCAGGGTCCATAATCCATGAAGTTATGGTCCGATACATGCCAATCTCGAAATGACCTATATATATTTCAAGTTTCGTCAAAGTCGGATAAAAATTGTGACCTGTAAAGTGTCCACAAACAAATGTGAACAGACACACGGACGCACAGACGGACGGACGGACAGGGGCGACGGCAATATACGTCCACGTGAAAATGTGGGCGTATAAAAATATATCCTGCAAGACAATTTGAACTGTTCACGTATTTCACCGAATATAATTAATAAGAAATTACAATAATTTTTTGTTTAAAATTGAACATAACCTACATTCATATTACATTAATATGTACTTTTAGACCAATGTTATCTTTAAGGTTTCAAAGAATAGAGCCGGATGCACACTTTTAATGCAGATCGTTCACAGATATCGTATTTATTGTAAAGAGGTAGTAATGGTCTAGTGATTTAACTGTATAGGCATGTGTCGTACATTTCCATTTACTTAAGATAAATGAGTGTTTAAGATAAATAATATAAACAAGCCAACATTGAGGCTGATGACCCCAGGCGAAACCCATAAATAAAAAGATGACACATATTGATTAAATGCAGATTAAATTTATCTTTTTGAAAAGTATCGGGTAATTAAACTGATTATCTATACATAGTCCAGGCCGGTAGCCAGCTTGCTAGCTGCGGTGGGGCAGTGAAGTTTTTAGGTAGGGGGAGGGGGGCACACCTGGCACAGTCTACAGTAGGTATTTTAGAGCTATGGTCGGCAAAACAATTTGGGGGGGGGGGGCAAAACATTTTTTCAGGGGGGCATTGCCCCTCCCCCCTTTGCTCCCCGCTGGCTACGGGCCTGACTTAGTCTAAGCATAAAATGTGCACGGTCAGAGTACCTGTTTGTGAAACGATACACTAAGTTTCATCACTCTCCATCAGTTAGAATCAAATTTATCTTATCCCAAATCATCAGCCAATGAAATTACTTAGCTCTGCTTAGCTTTAAAGGGAAATGTTAATCATTGAACTCAGTCAAGATATTCATCTAATAAACATCTACACCAAGTTTAAACTTTCTACCTCAATTAAAAGCAGAGTTGTTATGTTCCAAATTCTTGTAATACCCTAAACAGAAAATGCTCATTATTGAACAAGGTATTGCTGTAATGTAAGTATACACCAAATTTCATCACTCTCACTTAATTAGAACTAAAATTATCGTGTCCAAAGAATCAACCAATCAAATTGTTTATCTCTGCTTACCCTATAAGCAGAAAATGCTCATCTTCGAACTCCAAATCTGTTTTACAGACCTAATGCGACATCCGTCTTTTATCTCTGTCCAAGATGACTGACCTTTAAAAGGTCAGACCGCTGTAGTTCTAAGGGTGACGTCACATCACAATGTTTACCAACAAAGCAAGATGACATCGATAACGCCAAAAAAGATTACCTCTGTGGCTTGTTTTTGTTGTTTTAAAACAAACACGAGCAGGTCAATCAGATTAGACGGTAAAAATGTACTTCTGAAAGAATTCAGAGTAAACAAACAGAAAAAACGTCAAACGTGCGTTGTTTACATCGAACGTAATAATATGAACTGGTACGGGCAGAATTATATCGTTTTACTCATTTTACGCCTCCGCGTACTATTTTCCGTACCTATTTACGCTAAATATGGAATATTTTTTATCAAGATATACTTCAAACACCTTTATTTATTTTTCTAATACTAAATAAAAAATGCTTCAGAATTTAATTTGTCGAAAGAAAAAAGTTAATATTTTGTAGTCATTAGGTCGCATCGATGTCATCCTTATCAGTGATTGTAGCGGCCAAGCGAATATTCACTGCGGATCAGTGTGTCGAACTCCATCAAGGCATTTACCCAATAAACGTCTGCACCAGGGCTGTCGGTAATTTTTCACAGTTGATTAGCAGCACTGCTAATCAAAAATTCCAATTTTGCCAAATTTGATTAGCAAATTTAAAAATTGATTAGCAGTTTTTCAGTTTCAACATAAAAACCTAAATAACAAGATATTACTTTAGTTCATAACAAATATGATTAGATTCCATTCTTACTATTCTTAGATTTTTTTAGCACTGCCACAAGTACTTGTGACAGTTTGTGAATGTGATGTAGACATTTAGTTAGGTCTTATGTCTGAATCCAATTCTTAACAGTGACTTCCAAGGCGCCAATCATTTTAATTGTTATTTTTCGTTACGTTAGAAATCTTCGTTAGAAAACAATTTCGTCTGCTTTTTATCGTGTATTGCTATTTTTGTTCAATCGGGCGCACCTCGATTAACTAGACACACGCGATATTTTACGGGAATTTTTACTTTGATTTATCATTTTACAATACGTTAACATATATTTATTTTTTTTATATTTTATTTACAATACGTGGGGGATACACTGGCTTTATTTCTTTCAAAATGAATATAATATAATTACTTGATGTCTCGCAACGTGAGTGGTACTACTTGATTCCCTATTTCCGGTTTAATAGTCCCTATTCATAGAGTTATGTCCCTGTATTATATAGTACCGTATAATGAATTGTGTCTGGGTAGTTCGAGAAAAAAATGTCACACGGAGAATTCAGTTTTGTTTATAAAATTTTATTCAACATTTTACACTCGTTGAAAGTGTTCAGAAAGCCTTCTAGTCTTCAAATGTGGATTATCCTTCTGTCAATATCCAAAATGACAGGCATATTAATGATTCGCAGTTACTGCGAATCAAAAACTTTAGATTTTAATTTTTGATTAGCAACGGACAAAATATGTATCGCAAATTGCGCTGCGATACTGGTTGTCGGCAGCCCTGGTCTGCACCAGGTTTGATTGAACATTCTACCTCAATTCGAAGGAGAGTTATTGTGTTCCAAAGTCTCGGCCAATCAAATTGCTTATAGCTCTGTTTACCCTGAGCAGAAAATGCTCATTATCAAACAGAGTCAAGGTATTGATGTTATGAAACTATACACAAGTATCATCCCACTGATCAGCAGTGAATTTTCGCTAGGCGGCTACAATCACTGATAAGGATGACATCGATATGCGACTGAATGAGTTCCAAATATTAACTTTTTTCTTCCGTCAAATTAAATTCTAAAACATTTTTGTTCATTTATTAGAAAAATAAATAAAGACGTTTGAATTGTTTGTAGGTAAAAATCATTACCTAATTAGTGTAAATGGGTATTAAAATAAGTAAAATTCACCATTTAGCCCGAATTAGTAACGCCTTATGTAAACAATGCACGCGCTATTGAGCCAATGATTGACGCCGCGCGATGTGACGTCACGTGTCGAAACAGTCATCTGTTACAGAGATATTAGAAGATCTCTGTGAAACAGATTGAAGTATCATCATTCTCACCTAATTAGAACTATAGTTATCGTGTCCCAAAGCATCAACCAATCAAATTGCTTATCTCTGCTTACCCTAAGCAGAAAATGCTCATCTTCGAAATTCATCAAGGCATATATTGGCCTAATATTAATAAACATCTACACCAAGTTTGAAGATTCTAGCTCTATTAGAAGGAAAGCTAAAAAATGTGACATGCAGACAGACAGACAGACGGACGGACGTCTGGAAGGACAGGGGCGACGGCATAATACCTTCACGTGAAAATGTGGGCGTATAAAAAAACCAACCAAACTCCAGCGTGATTTTGGTCTCGATGATCAAAGGGAGACAACGACGATATAGTTGTACAGATTTTATGCACGGCATTTAATATTGTCAGCGATTATTCGATGCATTACAACTGGGACACAATAAAAAGTCAAAGCCAAAAAGTCAACATTGCGATTAAATATAACTTCTTGTTTCTTTGTATTTCTCTTCTTTATAGTAATTATTTTCAGTTTTATAAAAAAAAAATTGTAAAATTCGCGAGAAGTTGCACAAATGTAAAAATAAAATGAAATGGGATTAAACGCCCTACTGCTTCGTTCTCTGACTGGACAAAAGAAGACGGGTCTATGAGGGAAATTTTGCACGGACAGAGGCGCTATATAAGGCGCAATGGCCTACTGATATCACCTCGGTGGAAGCGGACGTAAAATACAACTAACACTAACTAACTCTTTATCGAGTACCATTACTGTCAAGGGACCTTTTACGTGCTCGCCAATGTGTACACGTGATGTCTTTTTCGTCCCATCCGAAGGACCACACTTTGTCCCTTGTCAGAGTTGCACACACTGACAAAGTGGGGGTGGGGGAATTAGAGCTTTGTAAAAATACCAGGTCCGTAATTAGAGGAATAATTGCACGTGTGTATAATTTCATATAGCTATTGTATTTAATGTCAGTAATGTGTTTAGGAATATTGGTTCGCGGCATGAATAGACTTCAATCACAATGGCACGGTAATTTATCACAATGCGAGTTCATAACGGTTAGTTTTGTTCATTCACCGTTAACAATTGAAGCCATGTAAAAGCATAAACATAGGGAGGACAATAGAACAGCTATTACCTGTGTTCACGTGACAATGGTCATTAGCTCTCGAGATACCAGACGTATCGCTATAGTCCCGTTATTATAAAACGACTGGATAAACAGGTATTGTTTGGTATCTAAGCACGCCGTGATATACGATATGATTTATTAACTGTTTACAAGGTTAAGAAAAAAACATAACTGGTCGTTTGTTAGTCTACATTGTAGTATCTGTATTATTATAGAGAGAAAAAAAAATAATATGGAGGATGAAAAGAATCCTGTGGCAGAAGTCTCAGAAACAGCTGCACAAAATCCTGGCACTGAGACGCAGAACGGCATTGAAGAGAGCGCAGTAGCAGACGACAATCAGAAAGAAGGAAACGGAGATCCTGAAAACATGAATGAAAATATGCCAGTAGACATCCAAGCGTCGGATAAACAGGAAAATGAAAAATTAAATGACGAAAACAAAGTTATGGATGAAAATCCTGAAGAAGTAGTGGATGTGAACCAGTTTGATTCTGTTTCTAATGTAAAATCTCTTCCAGATCAAAATAAATCTATCTCAGAGACAGAATCTCAGAGAAAAAAGGATCCAATTTCAGTGGAAACTTCGAAAACGAAAGTCAGAAAGCCCAAGAAGTCGATCTATATTTCCTACTCTCCTGATGCCGGATATCTGGAACGAAAGTTTGTTTCGGAAATTGTTCGTCAATTGAAGGAAAATAACTTAGGGGATGATATTTGGTTCGACAAAGATGAGCAGAATACAGATAGCCCATCATGGTTCTCGCTTAGGATGGAAGCCACTGAAAAATGTCGAGCGGTTATACTGATTTTATCAGAGAGCTACTTCTCGTGTCCGGTATCTGTTTACGAAGGAAAAACTTTGCTGGAACGATTGAAATTGGAACCAAATTGTGTAAAGGTCTTTCCAGTTCTTTATTCATCGATTGACAATAATGACATCATCAAACAATTCGCTCCAATCATGAAGAGACCTGTTGATCTTACAAAAAGACATTTAAAGAAAAGTGTCGCAGAAAAAACGTCGATCGTTATTGGGGAAATCATGGAAGAGATAGAAAAATTTGGATCTTTAAATTCGACCTCAACTCCTCTCTTCCGACCAGATACGGAAATGTCTGGAGAATATTTGAACAAGAAAATTTGTCAGTGGACTGTTGGTGATTTACAGGAATGGTTGTTCAATCTTGGAATCAAGGAATTTTATTTGCAGAGTCTGGCTGAGAATATGATTGATGGGTTCCTTTTAATGTCATTGACGGATCACGACATGGTTCATTATTTGGGAATAGACAGTCGTGTCGTGCGCAAGAAGATCATGCAGCAGATTCTATTGACGCTAGACAAAGAACACAAGCAGGCGGACAACTGGCATCTACGTGCCCGTGCTCAGAGAATGAAAGAAGATCTGGTTTATTTAATTTACGACCCCGCAGATGTTCGATTAGTGCAGAATATTAAAGCTGATTTGAGAAGAAAAAATCTTCAGGTATTTATTTTAAAATTTATGCTAAATTATTCAAAACATTTATGCTAATTTGATTTTAAAATTGAATCTAAATTAATTAAAAATTTATGCTAAATTTATTAAAAATTTATGCTAAATTTATTAAAAATTTATGCTAAATGAATTAAAAATTTATGCTAAATTAATTACAATAATTAATGCTAAATTAATTACAATAATTAATGCTAAATGAATTACAAAATGTACATGTATGCTAAATGAATTACAAAATTTATGCTAAATGAATTACAAAATTTATTAACAAATTTATACTAAATTAGTTCTAGAATGTAAGCTAAATTTATTTTAGAATTTACGCAAAATTAATTTTATAATTAATTAAATATTTTTAAAAATTTGTCCCAAATTTTTCTAAAATCCATGCTACTTTAATACTAAAATTAACTCTAGATTAATGCTAAAATTAACTCCAGATTAATGCTAAAATTAACTCCAAATTAATTAAAACATTTATGCTAATAAGGCATACTTTCTATTGATTTTATTGTCTACGAATCATCATTTAACAATCCATGAACATCAAGGTCAAGAAGGTACTGGTATTTCATTATAAAAGTAAAATATGGTTTAATGTCCTACTTTGCTGCACCAACTGGATGCAGCGTCCCATAAGGGAAATTCTTCTTCTCAAAACTTTCCCTCATGGGAAACTGCATGGAGTATGCTCGTCTTTATTAGTTGGTGCAGAAAAGTAGGATGTTCAACTTAATTAAGCCCTATTTGATTTTTATATTTTATAATGAAATAACTGGTGAAAAGCTGTTTATAGGCTTATATTGTATGCCTGTCTGCATTAGCCTAATTGGTGCCGAAAAATAGGACATTAAACCCCATTTCATTTTTATATTTAATAATGGAATAACTGGTGAAAAGCTGTTTATAAGAGTAATTATAGTATTATGTGAACTGCCTGTAATAACCGTGAGTTATAACCAATAACCCACGGTGAATAGTCAGATCACATATTGATTATTAATTATTAGGACAGGTTAATTATAAAATAGCTAGAAGTAAACAAATAAAGTGGGGGACCCTGCAGGACTAGATCACAGCATCCAGTGCGAATATTCTTAAATTGTGAATCCATTTGAATTCATGGTTTTTTTTTAGCTTCATCACTTTTGCCATTATCAGGATCAATCTTAAAAAGCTAAATTATTTTATTTTAATGTCCGCTGAGGATGAAAAATATTGCAACTGATTTTGATCTTCATGTATTATGTTTAATATCATCAAAGTGTTCTTAAATTCAGAGCCGGAGTGGCTCAGTGAGTAAGACATCGGCTCGCTAACCTGGAGGTCCTGTGTTCAATCGAGAGAAAGTTCATCAGGATTTTCCAGCAGGGTTCCCCCATGTCAGTGGTGGAGGATAGAGGGCCAGACGAGGGACAACGTATTGTTGTTTGGATTGAACGAAAAATCGAGGTCCAATGAACACATTGGTGTGCACGTAAAATAACCCTAACGTCCTACTGTTCTGCTGAGACTGGGCTACTGAAGACAGGCATATGCCATACAATATGCTATGAGGGAAATGCTGTGGCCTACTCTTATATAGATTTGTAACTGCCAAGGGAATTCTTTAAGTACATGGCAATGTGTACACAGGACCTCATTTTTTCATACCATCCGAACGACTATACATAGTCTCTTGCTAGGCCCTCTTTCCTGTACCACTGACATGAAGGAACCACACAGGGAAATCCAGATGAATGCTAAGTGAATTAACATCTTACTCACTGAGTCACCACGGCCCCTTCTCAGGATCGAACACAGGACCTACTTGTTAGTGAGCCAGTACCATACTCACTGAACCACTGTGGCTCCAGTGTTGGGATGTACAAGATACATGCATACTATATTTGTAGCTTAAAATTACGTTCTTTGCTGTCCTGTTTTTTGAGAAACATGAAAAATCTTCTTTAATCTGAGTAGTTTCAGTGAAGATACCTTACCGTGTACAAACTGGGAGATTTGATGATATATTTGGACTAAAAACATATTCAAACTAATTAATTTATCAAAAATTTGCTCCAAATCCCTCTCAAAACGGGGATCACGTGGCTAAGTGGGTAAGACGCTGGCTCGCTAGCCTGGATTGGCCAAGAAATTTCATCCAGATTTTCCAGCGTGGTTTCCCCTTGTCAGTGATGCAGGACGGAGGGCTGACAAGGACAGGCTGCCAATTAGTGACCCCCGTATATTTTTTTCCTGTATGCGCTCCATGGATGTTTTTCATGGAATCCAGTATTTTTCTAGTAAGATTGGATGTCTCCACTTCCCATACATACCAAAATTACCATACATTTATTGGAAATAACCACCCGATAAATACTTTTCTGGGAATGTATCTTTAACTGTTATGAAAATCAGACATGTGATTGAACTTTCACAATTGTAGTTTGCAAGAGATTAAAAAAATTAATTTGTTAGACAAGCAAGGCTTTGCAATGGTACCAATATTGGCGTGTTTATAAAAGGGGAAATCTCTATATAATTCAGTATATTGAATATTCTCCTTTAATATATGAATGTTCTTTAACTGTTATGAAAATCAGACATGTTCATGATTGAACTCCAATAATTGTAAGTTGCAACATTAAAAAAATTCATTTGTTAGACATTGCAAGCAAGGCTTTGTAATCGTACCAATATTGGCATATTTATAAAAGGGGAAACCCCTATATAATTCAGTATTTTTAATATTCTCCTTTAATATATATATATTTATGTATATTATTCTTAAAGTAGATAAACTCGATATATTTATGATTATAGAATGATCTATAAGAAGACTTGAGATGTGTTATAATCATAAATATATTATAGTTTATAAACTATATCCTGGTGTTTATCAGCTATATATGTTTATTATATATACCACTTGAACCACAGTTTAAATATACATTATGCAAGAGCTAAATCTGCCTATTGCAGGTCTTTCTTTAGGCCATGAAATGTTATCTAAATTATTAATTAGACATTAATTAACGTGACAAGACCATAATCAACTCTCGATGGCATCGCTAGCCTGCGATCTTTAGTGGATTATGAGCTGATTTACTGCATAACTTTCCTTCACGATTTAACGATTAAATAGATAATCGAGACTATGCTGTTTATCGTACTGACTTTAGTAATGATGATCGAGGCTAGGCGGAAATTTCAATCGCTTAGTTCTTGATTCACAGTGGATCAATTTGAATGAAATTTTCAGCAAATTGCCTTTACATTATCTAGTTTTTAACTATTATAGTGAGAACTGCCAACTCGTTATCGAATCTCCCATAATGTATCTTTTAATATACAATAAATACAATAAATTATGGGGCGCCGTTTGTAAATTAATTATTTAGCTTTTTATATAGCAAAAAACACTAGATTTAATTTAAATTTATATATATAGTTAAATCTCGACTTTTGTGCTAATTTTTCACTTTTAATATTTAAACTAAAAATACAAAAACTCAATATTTAACATAATATATATAAATATATTTCTTGATTTGTCTCTATTTTCATATTTAATATTTAGCATTGAATATTAAGACCAAAACAAGAGATTTGATGATATATAAATATTTAGCTAAATATTTAGTTAAATATTTAAACATTTAGCTAAATATATATTTAGTTAAATGTTAAAATATTAAGTTAAACATTTATATATTTAGTTAAACATTTATATATTTAGCTAAATAATATATATTTAGCTAAATAATATATATATATTTAGCTAAATAATATATATATTTAGCTAAATAATATATATATTTAGCTAAATAATATATATATTTAGCAAAATATTTATATATTTAGCTAAATAATTATCTATTTAGCTAAATAATTATATATTTAGCTAAATAATTATATACTTAGCTAAAATAATTATATACTTAGCTAAACAATTATATATTTAGCTAAACATATAGTTAAATTTTCAAAGCGCAACCGTACCACGCGGTTTGTAAAATAATTATTGTTGTAAGCGACTTCACACTAAACGATGACGTAGTGTACAACTTTCCATTGACTGCACAACACAGTACTATCACAGAGTAAAAATGCCTATTGTGCCAAGGCTCACGTGTCGGGTACACGTCATCATTTTATGCGCAGATTTTTGTGTCGCTTACGATAATAGAAATATTGGCGGGACCACAAATATATATTTAGTTAAATATTTATACATTTAGCTAAACATATATATTTAGCATGATATTTATATATTTAGTTAACTGTTTATATATTTAACTAAATGTTTATATATTTAGTTAAATGTTTATATATTTAGTTAAATGTTTATAATGTTTATATATTTAGTTAAATGTTTATATATTTAGTTAAATGTTTATATATTTAGTTAAATGTTTATATATTTAGTTAAATGTTTATATATTTAGTTAAATGTTTATATATTTAGTTAAATGTTTATATCATAGGTTCCCAACCTTTTTTGGGTGGCGACCCCATTCCAGACCCAGGATCAGATCGCGACCCCTCGAAGAACGAAGTCACATTTTATTATGAAACAAAATTATCATTCACTTTTATTATTGTTTACTTATTAAAAGTCTGATAACAAATTATTGATTTTTTTAATCAGTGTGATGGTTGCGCCTGTTTTTCAGAGGCCAGGTTTTCAATGCGTGGCTCAACGCCACTCAGTGCAAAAATCATGCCCCTTTCTATTTCAAGCCGGTTCCTAAATTTTGTTTTTATCACAACCATTGTAGAAAATGACTGTTCGCATAGGTATGACGACTGGTACGGCATGAGGAGCCGTATTGCATTCTTGGATAAACGTGGATAGGATTCAAGTATTTTGCACCAGTAACTAGACAAAGACAAGGACTTGTGCAGTGATTTAGCTCCGGAATCCTGCTGCAGACTCACGAGCTCCTCTTGAGCGATATCATCATCAGTGATGGCGTCTAATGGTGCACTGTATGGGTCTCGGACCAGGGTGAATGACTGGACGTCGAGCTCGGGGAAGTAGTGTTCGAACTGATCGATCAGTGACTGAAGATGTTCAGTGATTTCCTCAGAAAGCGTACGATAAAGCACATTGATCCGTTCAAAAATGTCACTCAAATAGCACAATTTAGCATGTCAGTTACTGTTCTAGCATTTTTTAAAAAAGTTCTCAGACAAGTCCGCGACCCCACGAAAGGTGCTCGCGACCCAAGTTGGGTCACGACCCAGAGGTTGGGAAACGCCGGTTTATATATTTAACTAAATGTTTATATATTTAGCTAAATGTTTATATATTTAGCTAAATGTTTATATATTTAGCTAAATGTTTATATATTTAGCTAAATGTTTATATATTAGCTAAATATTTAACTTTAGATTTTTCAGTGATTTAGTATTTAGCATTTATACCTACGAAAAACAGCACATTTAGCTATATATTTAACTAAGCGATGTGAAATCAAGATATAACATTTAAAGTTTTTCATAGACCAAAAACTCGACTTTTAGCTACAATATTTTTTGATATTTACATATATGCCATTTTTGTTCTAATATTTATCTAAATATATATATTCAGAGTTAAATCTAATGTTTTTTGCTATAAAAAAAAATAATTATTTTACAAACGGCGCCCCATAATAAATAAAATATAGAACTATAGATCTATTAATGCAGATTTAAATATATGTATACTGGGCAAAGTTTTGATATATATTCCCCTTGACCACCGTTTAAACATGCAATAAATAAAATATAGACCTATTGATCTTATTAATGGAGATTTAAATATATGTCTACTGGGCAGTATTTTTGATATATACACCCCTTGACCACAGTTTAAACATACAATATACAAATTGATAAGTATAAATGAAATATAGTATCATAAATCTTTTAATCCAGTCCAAGGGTCAGAGCTCAAGAGATTTTTACCCCAAACCAGACACAGATTAAAACTAAGGACACATTTTAAAATAAAGATCTTTTATTTACATGTACTTTGATAACATGCCTATAACTAGCTGCATTATTATTGTCAGTTGGAGGAATTGGTTAGCCAAATCGTTTAAAGCGAGAAATTCATATTTTCTAAGAAAGTCAAAACATAATTATTTCTATGTCTTTTGCTCAATAGGTTATCAACTCACTATTATACCATCATGGGCATTATTTCCCACCCTTAAAAATCATTGACACAGGAAATAATAACACAATTACTCACCTTGTTTTCCTATTACCTCCATGGAATAGCTATGTTCAAACGTTCGAATTTGAAGCTGAAAATGATATTTTTGCCAATTTCTCAGCTGGCAATAGTGAATTATAGGATTAATAGGATTATTCATTAACAAGGTAGGACTGTTTATGGATACCATCTATTTTAAAGCTTTATTTTAATAAATTTTAAAAGTATAACTTGAAAATATAAAATTGTAGCTTTAAAGGTGTGCATTTAAGATAAGGTCTGTGATTGTGTCAAGTGGTATGGTGTTGATTCCCAGCTTGTATGTGCAAAGAGAAGGGTTTTCTCCAGGTCCTCCGGTTTCCTCAGACTGCTAAAGACCCATACACGCAAGCATATTACTGAAGTAAAATTGAACCACATATTAACCCCAAAATGATTGTGTCGAGTGGACATTAAACTTCATTTCTCTCTATCTCTTTATTGTCAGTTGAAAATTTTGGATTATTTATTAAGTTGTTGAAAAGCAGTCATAATAAATGCATAATTCACAGTATTTTACAGCCAGGGATTATTATGTATAGTATATTTATCTATATATCATAGTAGTTAACAGCCAGGGATTATTATCCATGGTATACGTGTGTATATATCACAGGCAGGTTCATGTAACCTGTAATATGTATTAGCATTATCTATTTAATAAATACATAATATGTACATACATATGTACAAAGAAGGCCTACTTCTACCTATAATATACGTAATATATCCATACATACATAGTAAGCTTACTTATAATGTACACAATGTATAAGTATTTCTTTAATCCATGTGACAGGTGGAGATAAGTATGTAATATGGTTTGACACTATTTACATGATATAACAACACTGGCTACTAATGTTTAAATATACCCCAGTATCTCACAATATACCCAAATACCCCAGTAATATCGTACTACAATATACTCATATACCCGAGTAATATTTACAATATACCCCAGTAATATTTTACAATATACATATATCCCAGTTATACACAGGGTATACCCCAGTAATATCTCACAATATACCCAAGTAAAATCTTACATACTCCAGTAATATCTTACAATATACCCCAGTAATATCTTACAATATATTGAATATACCCCAGTAATACCTTACAATATAGCAATATATCCCAGTAATATCACACAATATATCCCAGTAATATCACACAATAATATACCCCAGTGATATCTCATAATATACCAATATACCCCAGTGATATCTCACAATATACATTGTACCAATATACCCCAGTGATATCTCACAACATACCAATATATCCCAGTAAATATAACAATGTACCTCAGTAATATCTTACAATATACCCCAGTAATATCTCACAATATACACCAGGAATATCATACAATATACCCCATTAATATCACACAATATACCCCAGTAATATCACACAATATACCCCAGTAATATCACACAATATACCCCAGTAATATCTCATGGTATACCCCAGTCATATTATACAGTACGATATACCCCAGTAATATCTCATGGTATACCAATATACCGCAGTAATATCACACAATATACCCCAGTAATATCTCATAGTATACCAATATACCCCAGTAATATCACACAACATACCCCAGTAATATCTCATAGTATACCATAACCAATATACCCCAGTAATATCACACAAGATACCCCAGTAACATCACACAATATATCAATATACCCCAGTAATTTCTTACAATATCTCACAATGTAATCCAGTAAACACCTCTTATTAAAAAAAAAATTAAGAGCCTTTACATGTTGTAACCAGGATATTATTCTTTAATTCCATGTTAATGATAGTTATATATTATATATGTATAAGTGTAACATGGTGTAAATATATAGTGTAGTCTTTAATCCTTCATAGAAGATTGTGTATATAAATGGTACAATAGTTGGATAATATCTATGTATATAAACACCAACTAGCTATAGTAAGAGTTATACCTTTGATATAGGAGAGACCCCGTGACTCAGTGAATAGAGGCTCTGGTTCACTATCAAGGTGGTCCCTATCTTCAATAGAAGGCTTGCTCTCGCTTTAACTACGTACATCTTATCAAGGCTTTCACGTAATACCCTGCATATTTCGGCACTAATTTCAATTGGGTACAAGCCCAACTTGTGAGCCTATCAGATTCCTGGATCATCGCGAATACCAAGTCTCACGCTTTCAAGCTAAAATGTCTACCTGTGATAATCGAGTTGCAAAGTTCAAGGTTCATTCAATGTCAAGGTTTCTGTGGAGGTCGCAATGTCACAACCTCTGATTGAATGCTACTGCTCACGTGTCTGTAGATAACATAGCTATAAGTTCGGGAATTGTGAAGTAAACAAGCAATGGCCAGATGTTGTGAAACTTGCAGTCTGGTGTTGGCCAAGAAAGTAAGGACAAATTTCCAGTCATTCTTGACAGCATTCTGCAAACAGAGATCCATCTATTTCATTCCTCGAGAATAGATCTCTACACTAAATGGCTACCATATTCAAAAATTAGTGGGGGATCACGTGACTAAGTGGGTAAGACACTGGCTCGCTAGTCTGGAGGTCGGTTGTTCGATCCCTGCATTGGCCGAGAAAGTTCATTTAGATTTTCCGGCGTGATTTCCCCTTGTCAGTGATGCAGGACAGAGGGACAGAGGGCCTGACAAGGACAGCTGTCTAGTCGTTCGGATGGGACGAAAAACCAAGGTCCTGTGCACAAATTGGCATGCACGTAAAAGATCCCTTGGCAGTTGGAATTCGATATATAAGAGTAAGCCGTAGCGCCGCTGCCCGGGCAAAATTTCCCTCATAGCACACTGTATGGCGTATGCCTGTCTTCATTAGCCCAGTTTAGGAGCAAACCAGTAGGACGTTAAACCTCATTTCATTTCATCACGATTTCCTGTATAGACAGCCACCCTCAGGGCTGGATTACTTTTGGAACAGCAGAATCTGCCCAGTACAAAAATGTGCCCATTGAGACTTTCCGGCTTTGTGCAAACATTAGCTATATTGTTATTTGTGACTGTGAGAGATTCAAATTGGTGATCATCATTAATAAAGTTGGTGCAAAGTCTTGGTTGTCAATTTTTACGTTTAATTATTTTTCAAAAAATGTATTCAAATCCATTAAATATCTCAGGCTAGCGATGGCATCAAGAGTTGATTATGGTCTGCATAAGTTAATTTATGTCTAATTAATAATTTAGATAACATTTAAGGCCTAAAGAAAGACCTGCAATAGCCGAGAGAGAGAGAAATGGGGTTTAACGTCCACTTGGCACAAACTAGGTCATTTCGGGACTAACATATGGTTCAATTTTATTTTAATAATTCGCTTGTGCGTAGGGGTCTTTTAGCAGTGGGAGGAAACCAGAGGACCTGGAGAAAACCCACGAGGTTGGACAGGCGACCCTCCTCCTTGTCACGCACAACCGGGTATTCGAAACCACGGCATTTGACTCAATGACAGGCCTTATGATACAGCGCGCAGGTGCTAACCATTCGGCCATCCCCCCCCTGCAGATTTAACTCTTGCTTAATGTATGTTTAATGAGATATTAATTTTAAATTTAAATTTTAGGTAATCCACCATGACGGTCAGAAATTGGGAAAATCTAAGGAAGAATTCCTGCGAATAAATGGACCGCAGATTGCTACAGCTTCTCACGTTGTTGTGGTGATGACGGAAGCAGCGACGTTGTCACCGTTTGTATATCATGAAGCTCTGTTTGCTGATTGGTTGGGGAAGAAATTGGTGACCACTATGTTCAAAAATACCTGGCATAAACTTCGACCATCAGCAAAGGCTGTTTTAGGTAAAAATCTATTTTCTTAAAGGTCCATACCAGTTACTGTAATACAAAAAGATAGAGAGAGAAATGGGGTTTAATGTCCACTCGACACAAAGTAGGTCATTTTGGGACTAACATATGGTTTAATTTTATTTCAAAAATTCGCTTGCACGTAGGGATCTTTAGCAGTGGGAGGAAACATGAGGACCTTCTGTCTTCTGATCTAACGCGCAGACGTTAATCAATCTGCCACCCAACCCCCACACATAAAGATATGATAGCAGGCAACAAAATAAAATCCACGGATGTCTCCACGTGAATTTTTAGGTAAATTAAAAGCAGAATCTGTATAATATCATTGGGCAGTAACTCAATAAGTAATTATCAGAAATTGTTGAATTTGGATATAATTCGTTGCTTCACGAAAATTAACCATACTTATAAAATTTAAGAATGGACAAAAGGACGAACTGGGTCGTCATCTATGTCATACTTGATTGGTGGGCAGTAGAGATGGTGGGGTGGGGTGGTATTGTTTCTACCAGCCTGGTTTGATAAAAGTTCATTCTGCTGAACAACTCGTGACTCTCTTACCTGTTGGTGCCAATAATTTTATTATTTTCTTTTACAAAATATTTTTTTCCAACTAGCAAAAACAATTCATGAAGTATACCATTTTTTTTTGTTGTTATCCAGGTGATTGTCCAGCTATAGATTTTGAGAGTAAATTGTACAGTGAGAGTCTGGATGTTCTTGAACATCATATTAAACCGTTACGACGTGTGCCTGGAGTCGTACTAGAACAGGCTTACTTAAACAAGATGGCCGAAGGTCTGAAACCATTTCACGAAATATCCTCCACAGGAAGTAAGTTTTGAAGACATTTTTTTTTCTTTATCAATAAATTTGTATATCTTTGAACAGTGTACATAATCCATTTTGAAATATGGCTCAGTTATTGAAGTGCTGGATCTCTAACCAGGAGGTCCCAGGTTCGATCCTGTTGTTAGCAGGGAAAGTTCCTCAGGATTCTTTGAGCATTGTTTTCCCTTGTCATTGGTCCAGGACGGAAGGCCTGGCAAGGAACAGTATGTGTCCAGTCATTTGGATAGGAGGAAATGAAATGAAATGGGGTTTAACGTCCTACTGTTCTGCTCCTAACCTGGGCATACGCCATACAGTGTTCTATGAGGGAAATTTTGCCCGGGCAGGGACGCTACGGCCTACTCTTATATCAAATTCCAACTGCCAAGGGATCTTTTACGTGCACGCCAATATGTACACAGGACCTCGGTTTTTTGTGCCATCCGAATGACTAGACAGCTGTCCTTGTCAGGCCCTCCGTCCTGCATCACTGACAAGGGGAAACAACGGCAGAAAATCTGGATGAACTTTCTCGGCCTTGCATAGGAGGAAAAACTAAAGGCCAGTATATACGTAAAACCGCCTGGTAAGTTACAATTATGAGTAGACACTGCAAAGCATATGTCCGTCATCATAAGCCTGGTTGGTGCTAACAAAAAGTAGGATTATAATAAACTCTATTTTATTTCATTTATTTTGGAATTGAAGTGAAGGACATCATTTCATTTAATGCTTGACATTTTATGAAGTTCTGTGATCTTTCATACCAGAGTTATCCTCTCTTTGTCAAAAACCTTGTGAATATGATAGAGGCTACATTTGCGGAAATATCAAATTTTGTCAACATCTAAGTTTTCCTTTTGGATAAGCTGCTGTCACTGGGGTAGTCACATGTATCAAGTCATAAAGGGTTAAGATTCACAGCAAATTTCTGTTGCATTTCATTGTCTTATAAACCCTTTTTTTTTCTCTTTGTTTCAGATGGCATCAGAAATTCTTCTTCTTCGGCCTCAAACGAACCTCGAGTGTTCATCAGCTATCATTGGGACATGCACACGCGCGTTGACGAAATACGACAGGCACTGGAGAAAAATGGATTCTTGTGTTGGGCAGATATTAATTTACCGAGAGGTAACAGTAGCAGAAGCAGTCGGGCAAGTTTAAGCAACGGGAACAACAGCTGTGTGGATGCCAGCAGTGCAACGTTACAAGGCCAAATTCATCGCAATATGAAAGATTCAAAGGTGGTTCTTTCGTGTATTACACCAAAATATCTCCATAGTGACAATTGCAGCAAAGACTTAACATTAGCGGATACTTTTAATAAACCGATTATCCCCCTTCTTTTACGATTTACTCCAATTGACAGTGCCCCATTACCAGTTCGTAAAATTTTATCGCGACACTCTTGCGTGGATTTGAGCAATGAGCGTCTGTATAAACAAAACATCAACGTCGTTTTAGACAAAGTGAAAAAATTAGCGAGTCCACGATGAAATGCCGAAAATTATTGTCAAAATGAGAGTGAACTAACATTTACCAAAATTTGTGAAGAAAATCTCAAGGATGATATTTTTCTAATTTGCTCAAATATTTTTTACACAATAAATAACAAAGTACAACAAAAAATGTTAGCTATACTAAGAAGTGATATCTGTTGTTCCAGAAAGCATATTCTGTCTCCTGCATGATACTTCTTATAGTTAAGTGGGAGTGAAAATGAAAACCTCGTCATGAGATCAGAGTTGATTAACTGTCCAGTACGGTGTCCTCAGATTTAAATTGCTGTTGACCACCCAAAGGTTGAATTTTTGGAACCATGAACTAGGCCTCAAGTTCATATTCATGTTAAGGGGAACAACGCTGTTCAAAAAATGCTTAAGCCTCCGCCAATTCAGGTATGATCAACATGGAACCTGACAGACATGTTCCTGGGACAATTGGGCATCGATTGAGTGATTTGGATTGTGATATGACATCACAATTCCAAGATGGCAGCGATGAAGTCATTCTCAGTTCCTGGTCCACAGTTGGCTACGCTCGTCCTTTTTTCATTCCTTTACGCTTTAATAGAAAAGTTAGAGCAATCAATACAATAAATTTATCTTTACGCTTTAATAGAAAAGTTAGAGCAATCAATATAATAAATTTATCTCGGATAGTGTTTTTAGTTTTAATTTGTTGTTCACCGCCCATGAATTCTTTCATTGGACTGGAGTGAATGAAGTTCAAGGTCTCTTAGGGTAAATACAGCAGCCATTTTGGTTGTTGAAATATCAGAACAATTAATCTAATAAATTTATCTTGGACAGTGTTTTTATTTTTGACTTTTTTTCTTTGGACTAAGAGTGAATGAAGTTCAAGGTCTCTACAGTAAAATGCAGCAGCATGGGTGGGACCTCGATTTTTTATCCCATCCAAATGACTAGACAGTTGTCCTACACCATTGACAAAGGAAAACCACGCCTGAAAATCCTGATGGACAGTCTGATTCATGTGAGAGAGATGAAGCTTAACATCCACTCAACACAAAAAATGCAATTTTGGGATTAAAATTGTATTTCAATAATTCGTTTAAGAATTGGGCAGGAGACCCTAATCCTTGCTACCCCAGTGAATCACCACAATTATAACAATTCTATGGCTAGGGTTTTAGATTATTACCGGTAATTTACAGACACCCATGATATTTTACAGAAAGCCACCTTCCCGGGCCCTCATGCTGTGACGGCATTACCGTCAGGGAATCCGGACCCCCTTCCGTTTGAATCCAGTTCAACACGATTTGGGGTACTGAAAAAAATAAACAAATAGATTATGTGATCAAAAAATTTCTTTTTGACGCCTGATGGTCAAGGTTTTTGTTATGTCAGTTCTGAAGTGACCTCCCTAGAGAACATACATCTTTCAAAAATTTTCGAGCCCGGGGGAAGAGCCCCTTCCCAACCTTCCCTAAACCCACCCATCCCCGCAGAGTTGCTTGTCCAAGGGCCCGCTTGTCGCGGACTCCAAGTCAGCCATATCACCCCTGGGAGATATATTGGGTTCACTCACAAGGGTTAAAATGCAACACAAGAGAGAATATTATTTGATTTTTTGACTGATTTTATAATGATTCGGTTTAAACATACTGGTGAATGATTTATTATGAATCAAGAGTATATATATTGATTGATTGATTATGATATGGTTTAATGATCAGATATAACAAAAAATAATAGGTACAGTAACAAAATTATAAAACTACAAATTGAATTACAAAGAATTTAACAGGGAGATAAGATAACACTATAACCCAGGTATCATTTAATATTGTGTATTTAGCATTAATTTATTTAAATTTCATTTAATATCAAAATCATTTAAAATAACCAAAAATCATCTAATTTTTACTTGTGTCCAGTTTAAAGCTGACCTATCTATTTTTATAATGTACAAGTGTTAAATTTCTTGATCACTATTCAAATATAAACAACCCAATTGATTACTGATGTATAATGAATAATTTTTGAACAGAGGTAAGGAAATTAATTGCTTGTAAATTGGACAATCATTATCAAAATTGAATGGTTAGCATTAAACTGGACACAAGTACAAATTACATGATTTTTGGTTATTTTAAATGATTTTTACGAATTTTCAAACAGAGTTTTGATATTGAATGAAAGTTAAATAAATTAATGCTAAATACGCAAGATTAAATGATAGCTGGGTTACAGTGTAAAGAGAGTAGAATATCATTGCAATCCTTCTAATTATCTCCCTTGTCATCTTGTGTTGTCTGGATAACGAGAGACCTTTTTCACATCGGTACAACTAAAATGTCATTGATTTGAGTGTACTTGTGATATCATCCGTGCACCTGTGTTCACGCGTTGAATATGTTTTGCGCTGGTTTCTCATAATCGTGTATACAGACATGTTTCACCGTGTGTAAAAGGAAAATGAAATGAAATGGGGTTTAACGTCCTACTGTTCTATTCCCAGTGGGCTAATGAAGACGGGCATACTATGAGGGAAATTTTACCTGAACACAAATGAAATGGGGTTTAACGTCCTACTGTTCTGTTCCTAACTGGGCTAATGAAGACGGGTGTGTAAAAGGAGATGTGAATGAAAGCGTAAATAGACATAATATATTCGTTTTCGTACCGATGTGAAAGCTCTCTATCATATTCATCAAAGAATTAAACCTATAGCACTTGGTACACCTGGACTAACAATCCTAATTATTGTAACGGTTTATCAAAATATGAATATATATGCAAGAATACATGAATAAAAACAAGAAAAGGCACTTGAATATTTATGATATATAATATATATAATAGCACTGAACAGTATAATCATATATAAACAATGTATGACAAGCAAGGAACCAGACTGGGCTAACCCACCTGGACTGTTTTTCTGAGAAAAGGGGATATTTCAAAGGCATACTTTGTTTCTTGAAAAACAAAAATGGCTGTCATTTTTTTTGAAAATGTTGGTTATAGCACTATCGTCCTAAACAGAAAATAATCAATGTCTATCTATCTAAAAACGAAAAAATTAAGTCTTATAACCCTCTCATAGGTGTTACCCCCGCAAGATCTATGTCTATACTATTCCTTTCTTGTTACCTCCGACATTGATACTAGTGCATCAAACTGATCGTCAGTTGACAAGCTTTTTACTAACCCCGATAGTAATTTCCCCTAATCCACTAAGAAGCCATCCCTGGTAACCCTGAAGGGGTCCTCACGAACGAAACTAGTCAGTGATAACGGGATAACTGGGTCTTTATAGCCTTTCTTATATTTGATCTCTTAAATTTATCAGAATTGTAAATTCGTCCGGTTTGGTTCCTACTCGTCACATGTAAACATTCAATCCTCATTAACATCAGTGACGAAAGCATAATAATATCCATGATGTTTTATACAGGACTGGTTAACAAAGTAAAATATAAAAGATGTGATCAACCAGTGCCACATATTATGACAAGCAGACTAGATTAAAAAGCAGCATAACGTGATAATAAAACAATGCAATATTTCAACAACGAACTGACAATAACAAAACATTTACGCCACATATATTACCTATATCAATCAATGAAACCAAACTTTTACCTTTCGCCATTCCATGAAAGCTTTATCAACTAAAAACAATCTTGCTGCTCCCAAAAAATAAAATAGAAAATTGTTCCAAACAATCAAAATAGTGTAGAAAATTGTCCCACACAGTCAAAATAGTGTCACCACGGTCTGTCAGGGCCTTATAATTATCTTTCTATGGCTGAATTAATTATAGGTTACCTTAACATTGATATAATATCTTAGAGCATAGTCCTCTTAACGAGTATTCTAAGAAGAATGTATGTTAATGGTAATATTTTAATACATGTATATAGTTAATATTATAAGCTTATAATGGTGACAATAGTATATAAATTCGCCCCACACAATCAAAATAGCATATAAAATAGCCCCCTCACAATTAAATGATTGATGCATAGAATCTGGAGAAGGTACTTGAGCTAGTTTTCCATGGTTACAATAGGTTGCCAGGCAATGATACAAACACTCAAAGCAGGTCGTCCAAGTGGTCTATAATTAAGTTAAGTGAATAAAAAGCAAACTATTTATAATGTTTAATATCAATAGCAATTGACAAGATTCTATGACATAATGAAGGGCCATAACTCTAATAGGCTTTACAAAGTGATCAAGGACAATAACTCAAGAACTTCTTATCAAACATGGATTGATGGGGTAATGGCAATATACGACTATATAAGAACAAGTGAGGCGAAAGAGTACAACATTTTCCTAGCAAATCAACTCTTGTTCATTCCACTAGAGAGCTTTCTGTTGAGATTCATTTTTGCTGGCACCCATTGAAAAGAACTTTTCTTAGGACGGAATGCATCGCAGGGGTACAATCTATTAACAGTATCCAATGATCAAGTTGTATCAACAACAGCCACTGGCCAAGTACTTTCAAAAGTAGCCAATGGTCAAGTAAATTAAGTTCTATCAACTGTAGCCATTGGTCAAGTTCTATTAAAAGTAGCCATTGGTCAAGTTCTATCAAGAGTAGCCATTGGTTAAGTAGCTCAAGTGCCATCAACAGTGGCTAATGGTTAAGTAGATCAAGTTCTATCAACAGTAGCCATTGGTCATGTAGCTCAAGTGCCATCAACAGAAGCTAATGGTCAAGTACTATCTAAACAGAAAACTGAGCAATGGACAACAGGATTGCTAATAAATTATATTTAATATCACATTTTCTTCATATTGCATGCATCCGAAAACATCACAATTTTCCCCGTTAAAATAAAACAAATGAAGTTTTGAGATGATGCAAGTTCTTTTAAGTGTTTTCTTCATCCTCATTTGTGTCACCTCCCTGACTAAAATTCAGCGTCTGCTGTCCGCGATCAGGGTTGGGCATCCGGAAAATACGGAAATTCTGTGTGATATCCAGCTGACTGTAGAAGAAAGAAGGAGAAATAATTCATTATTAGTTATAAATAATACTGTTTCCATTTAAAACTAGAAACATAGCCATCTCTGCTGTGCATCTTAACCCTTAACCGGTTGAGGTCATTCTGACGTCATGACGTCAAGTGGTCAGGCTAAATAAAGGCTGACGTGAAATATTTTGTATGCCTATTTCAATCGACTACTGCCGAATAATTATAAGTGATAGATTCTTGACACCAATAAAAATGTTGAAGGGTATAAGTTGATCTATAATTTGCAAATCATTCTAAGTCCTTTTCATCAGAAATATCGTCTTCAGAATCGGTGTCATTGATATAATCTGAGTCGGAATAATTCATAAGTATTTCAACCACTTCGAGCGTCTTTAGCCTTCCCGATATTGTTAAATTACGTTTTTCGTCAAAAAATGTTGAACAAAGACATGTTTTTCTCAATGCACTTGAAAAGACAAGTTCCTGTCTGACACGCATGAGTGGCCATATAAATTAAATACGAAACTAAATACTCAAATGCGGCTTATAAAAAAGGTTCTTGCTGTGGTCGACTTTAGTCGACCGTGACCACTTAGCTGTATAACGTTGTGTTGATTATAGTCGACAATGACCGGTTAATAACTGGCTTTACTTTACCCTTTTTTTTTTAACCAAGTACATTCCTAGGTCATTTCGGGACTAACATATGGTTCAATTTTATTTCCATAATTTGCTTGCGCGTAGGGGTCTTTAGCAGTGGGAGGAAACCGGAGGACCCGGAGAAAACCCACGAGGTTGGACCTATTGTTTTGTACCAAGCATGCTAATGCTGATGGGGCATATGCCATGATCGCCACAGTGGTAAGGGTTCTTTTACATGAACACAGGACAGTCACTGTGAACCAAGCGCCTTACGCACTGAGCCACTATGGGTTTAATTATTCACCAGTCACGATAACCATTATGAGTAACAAATCAACATCCTAATTAATTCATGGGTAATAAACAAAAATCCTGAACATCTAAGAAGCATTTCTGAAGCTAAAATGGAACCTGTTTCATACTTGAACCACAGAATATTCCAATCTATTTTTGGTCCTCATCTGATGAGAATAAATTGAACTTACCTCATATCTTGTGGTGTTAAAAATATAAATTGTCTCCCTTTTTGTTCCTTAGCAACAACCATCATCATATCCATACTAATTCTCCTGTTTACCATATCCTGTAGAAAGACAAACATGAAAACTCTCATATCAATGGGGCTAATTCAGTTTCCTGATTGTGCATTTTTCAGACAGTGTATATTATTCCACAGCTTAAACCACTCTTAAAGATGCATTATGCAAGATTTAAATAAATGAAATGAAATGAAATGGGGTTTAACGTCCTACTTTTCTACTCCTAACCTGGGCTAATGAAGACGGGCATACGCCATACAGTGTGCTATGAGGGAAATTTTGCTCAGACAGCGGCGCTAGGGCCTACTCTTATATCGAATTCCAACTGCCAAGGGATCTTTTACATACACGGGACCTCGGTTTTTCGTCCCATCCGAACGACTAGACAGCTTTCCTTGTCAGCCCCTCCATCCTGCATCACTGACAAGGCAGAACCACGCCGGAAAATCTGGATGAACTTTCTCGGCCAATGCAGGGATCGAACATCCGACCTCCAGGCTAGCGAGCTAGCGTCTTACCCACTTAGCCACGTGATCCCCAAGATTTAAATAAAGTTCAAAAATCGATAATACAAAATGAATATATTGAAAATTTCATTCAAATTACTTTATTCTAAGCGAAGTTATTAGTGTTTGTATTTTTGACAAGATGTGTGCAATGATTGTTTATTATCGTAAACATGGTACTGGTTATTCAAGTCTTAGCCTCACTACTCCATTTTCAAATAAAATCATTAAATAGCCGAACTGTTCTAATCTACTTTAAATCAGGTTATGAAGGCAACACTTGTCACATGGCAACACTTGTCACATACTGTTTTGCTCCTCTGGGGCTAATGAAGATGGGCATACGCCATAAGGGAAATTTTGCCCGGCCAGCGACACTACAGTCTACTCTTATTTTGTATTCCAACTGTCAAGGGTTCTTTTTCGTGCACGCCAATGTGTACTTGGGACCTCAGTACTGTCACATACAAGCTTGGGATTAAAACCACGCCCCTTGACTCAATGACAGACCTTTGACCACTTGATCAACCAATCCTCCCCAAGATCAAACAGAATAACCTTACTATAAAAACATTAAACAGAATAACCTTACCATAAAAACATCAAACAGAACAACCTTACTATAAAAACATTAAACAGAACAACCATAAAAACATCAAACAGAACAACCTTACTATAAAAACATTAAACAGAACAACCATAAAAACATCAAACTGAATAACCTTACCATAAAAACATCAAATTCATCAAGACATCTAAACGGTGATTCCATTGCATCCCATAATGCTAATATAAAACAGACAGTAGAGAATGACCTTTCACCTCCAGACAAAGATTTCAAATCTTTAGCAGACTCTCCACCCTGTATAGCTGGCATCACCTGAAAATACAGCAACACAAAACTTACTGAAAGTTATAATTGTTGAAATTCCATAGCCTTCTTCATCTGATCAACATTAATGCTGTGTATACATTTCTAGTCAATTCGATGATCAATGGTGATAACTCAGAAAGTATTTATTGAAAATTGTTGAAAATTAATAGGCTTTGTCATCCCATGAACATAGACATTGTGTCAATAGAGAGAGAAATGGGGTTAAATGCCCACTCAACACAAACAAGGTCATTTCGGGACTAACATATGGTTAAATTTTTTTATTTCAATAATTCGATTGGGCGTAGGGGTCTTTAGCAGTTGGAGGAAACTGGAAGACCCGGAGAGAACCAACGAGGCTGGACAGGCGACCCTACTCCTTGACTCAATGACAGGCTTTATGAGACAGCGCGCACATGCTAACCATTCGGCCATCCACCCCCCCACCACCCCTGGTGTATCTGTATCAAGTTTATACTGAGATCCAATCAAAGTTTGTTATTCAATTCTTTAATTCAAATGGTTTTGGATTCCATTCCATCTATTATTATTTGGATTTACATTTGAATATGGGCGTATAAAAACAGTGATGTCTGGTAATTCTTCTTTATGACTTTACAATGGGTTGCCAGGCAACCAAATATGAAAATGCACCCACAATATGTGGAAGAAAAAAAAACTTACAGTGATTTCTAACGATTCCTCTTTATGATTGAAGCTCATCTTTCCCTGATATGTTCTGTTACTCAATAAGATAATGAAGAAATACTTGGCCCGTAGCGCAATATATTGACGTAATTTAGAATATTGTTTGTTACGATTTGCCATTATTTTCTCCATATTCTGAAATATAAAATTAAATGATTATCCTTCTTGAAATAACTTTTGAAATTCCATATCTACGTAAATTAAATGAAATGAAATGGGGTTTAACGTCCTACTTTTCTGCACCAAGTATGCTAATGCAGATGGACACACACCACACAGCGCACTAAGAGGAAATTTTGCCCTGACAGCTGTATTTACGCCTACTCTTCCTCGCAGACTACGCTGATGCCACTTACAGTCAATGTTTTCTTAATTGTGTTAGTGAGCTGAAAAAAAACCTCTCCTTAATTTGCAAAATTACTCTCTTAAAAAAACTCTACCGGTTTGGAAAAGTTGGTGGATTTGGTTAATAAGGACAGTTAATCATAATAAAGACAGTGACTTCTTTCATTTATAAGACAGAGATACATAAAGAACAAGTCTATAGACATGTACAACCAGGGCTCATTATAAGTAGCATACACAATTACACAGAGATACTTAAAGAACAAGTCTATAGACATGTACAGTCAGGACTCATTATAAGTAGCATACACAATTACATTTGACAATCATAAAATGCAATGTGAAAATTATGGGGAAAGAATTTCAGCTGTAAGGGGCACCAACAACAAAATAGCCAGGATAGAAATTCAGGCGTTCCATTGAACAAAATCTTAATTTAGTGCCTTAAAAAACAATGAGGGCCTTTCCTTGATTAAGCTCTTAAAAAAACAATGACTGTACTTCCCATACTTAGAAAGTTCAACTTTTAACTTTTGTTTTATATTCGTTAAAACAAACCTCGTTAAATTTTCTGAGTTGGGTGACTTCATATTTTATTTTACGGAATGCGTCGCCAGTTTCTTTGTATTTTCTGGTTATTTCTTCATAATTACCACGTCTGTAAAAAAAACAAAACCATATTTAAAATATTTATCATATCATCCAAATTTTAGTGTAACTGAAATCAAGCAGTGGGAGGAATCCGGAGAAAACCCATGAGGTTGGACAGGCAACCCTGCTCCTTGTCACGTACAACCTGGGAATCAAAACCATGCCAGTTGACTCAATGACTGTCCTTGTAAGGATCAGAAAGAAAGACATAAACAGGATTTAGCTAAATGCCAGCGCCATTAATAACCTTTTCTCTTGTCTGCGATATCACCTCGGTGGAAGCGAACGTAAAATACAACTAACTCATCATCATAACCTTTTCTAAAATAAACTAATTGTTTCAGCTTACGATTTTTCTTCGTTTTTAATGGTTTTATTTATCTGCATAATTTCACTCTGTAACGTCTGAAACGCTCTATTGGTATCCACTTTCTCAGGACAAAACCTTGTTGCTTTCCGCACCAATTCCTGCAAAAATCAATCAGGATTTTACATGGTTGTCAATTTCATAAAAGACAAATAAATGGTCCTTTTCATGGATGGTGTGGCTAGCAAAGGGCACACAAGCTTTTAGGTTATGCAAACTAAACTTAAGACAGGTTGCCAGGCAACGAAACATACGCCCACAGCAGCTAAATCGTCCGGGCAGTCAACATGAGTTGTTGCATATTTTTACTTTTTTCGGTAATGAAACATTTATAATACACTAAAATAATTAAGTAATTATCAGAAAATCATTAGAATTTGTTTTGTTTTTATAAAGTTCTGCCCCATGCTAACGTTTAGTATACGATACATTTAATATCATGGATTTAGATGTTCAAGCAATCAAAATTCATTGAAAATCAATATACTTGTTCGTCTCAAGACCTTAAACTCTAGCCTCTAGAGCGTCACAAGATTTTTCAAAGTGATCAAGGGCCATAACTTTGGCAGTAATTATCGGAAATCGTTGAAAATCAATAGGATTCTTCGTCTCATGACTTCATGCGTATAAATTTATAGTCAATCAGATATTAACTTTAGCCTCTAGAGCATCTACAAGATTTTTTGAAGTGATCAAGGGCCATAACTCTGGCATTAATTATCGGAAATCGATGAAAATCAATAGGATTCTTTATCTCATGACCTTAAACACTGTATAAATCTAAAGTTAATCGGATATTAACTTTAGCCTCTAGAGCGTCCACAAGCAATTGTAGACGCCGGACTGACGGACGGACCGACAGACGGGGGCGACAACAATATACAACATTTCAATGTGGGTGTATAAAAATTAAGGAACTTGCAGGGGTCTTTAAAAGTTGGAGGAAATGAAATGGGTTTCAACCGCCTACCTTTTTGTGCTAACTGAGCTAATGAAGATGGGCGTATGCCATACAGTGTGTTATGAGGGAATTTTACCAGGACAGTGGCATTTCCGCCAACAATTATTCAAATTCCAAATGCCAATGGCTCTTTACATTCATGTTAATGTGCATGGTTTTTCGCAACACTTAGACGCTGTTCATTACAACGATATGACGAATAGAAATGCTGCTCCCTATGTAACAAGACCACCACCATCTTCATTTGCCGTGAACCAAAGTGGTAGGCCTGTTTTAAATCCGATTGATTCCAAGCAGAAGGATTATCTAGTTTTGATATTTTGAGAGATAGAGAGAGAAATGGGGTTTAATGTCCACTCGACACAAACTAGGTCATTTCGGGACTAACATATGGTTTAATTTTATTTCAATAATTCGTTTGCGCATAGGGGTCTATAGCAGTGGGAGGAAACCAGAGGACCCAGAGAAAACCCACGAGGTTGGACAGGCGACCCTACTCCTTGTCACGTACAACTGGGGATTCGAAACCACGCCAGTCGACTCAATGACAGACTCTATGATACAGCACGCACGTGCTAACCATTCAGCCATCCAACCCCCCTTGATATTTTGATATTGTTAAATAATCAATCTGAGTGCATATTAACGTGCATTAAGCTGTGAGAAATTTGATATTTTAGCGAAAAATGTAAATCGCACTTTGTTACTTTAATCGATAAATAAACTCTACCTCCAATTCTTCTTCACATTTTTCTTTCTTTTTTTGAAAATCAGCAATCGTTTTTTCCTGATTTTTTAAGATTTCTTCGTTTCGTTTACTGCTGTGTTTGGCTGATGTTATCTCTCCACTAACACTATTACTTTCAATCTAAATATTAAATAATTTTTAAAATTTATGTCTTCAATTTAACAGGATATTTCTGTATTCTTCGTACCTAATTTGAGCAGGGATTTTTAAATATCTATTTATGTCTTCTCACTTCATTTGAAATGAAATGAAATGGAGTTTAACGTCCTACTGTTCTGCTCCGAACTGGGCTAATGAAGATGGGCATACGCCATACAGTGTGCTATGAGGAAAATTTTGCCCGGACAGCGGCACTACGGCCTACTCTTATATCGAATTCCAACTGTCAAGGGATCTTTTACATGCACACCAATGTGTACACGTTACCTTGTTTTTTTGTCCCATCTGAACGACTAGACAGCTGTCCTTGTCAAGCCCTTTGTCCTGCATCACTGACAAGGGAGAACCACGCCAGAAAATCTGGATGAACTTTCTCGGCCAATGCTAGGATCGAACACTCGACCACCAGGTTAGCGAGCCAGCGTCTTACCCACTTAGCCACTGTGATCCCCCGCATCATCATTTGATCCAGCAGCTACACAGATCTACCGTGCCTGTCCAGCATCTCTTACTTTTTAAATGAAATGAAATGAAGTTTAATGTCCTACTGTTCTGCTCCGACTGGGATAATGAAGACGGGTATACGTCATACAGTGTGCTTTATGAGGAAAACTTTCCCCGGGCAGCAGCGCTATGGCCTACTCTTATATTGAATTCCAACTGCCAAGGGATATTTAACATTGGCAGGACTAAAAATATCAAATATTCATTTATCCTGTTGTTGTCTTGGTAAATATTGACCTGGATATGAATCATGATACAAATCATATCTTAGCACTTGAATCATAATACGTAGCAAATCGTGACTGCAATGGTAATTACCAGCGCTATCGTCCCCCCCCCCCTCCCCCAGGTCTTCAGAACATGTGAAAATAATAAATAAATCAAGTACCTGTAAAGGTTCGGATTCTTCCATTCTCGTTTTAATTTTTTTCTGTGTATCTTTATATTCGGTCTCAGCTTGTTGATAACACCCCTGCTTCTCTTTGAAATCTTCAACAGCTTGTCTGTGATTTTCTTCTAGTGCTACAATCTGTTGATCATAACCCTCGATCTCTTCTTCCTGAAATATTGCATAATTATCACACTTGGACTGATCTGTGGCGAATCCATGTGGGGGGGGGGGGGGAGCCTAAATGACAATATGTCACAATGCATAATCATCACTTGGACTGATCAGTGCTGAATCCATGGGGGGGGGGGGGCTAAATGACACAATGCATAATTATCACTTGGACTGATCGGTGGCGAATAACAAAATAGCAATGGGACTCATGTCTCCAACCTCATTCCCCTAAAAAAAGCTCCCCAAAAAGTGTTAAGAGGAGGGATTCAGTAACACACACTAGGTCATTTCAGGACTAACATATAATTCAATTTTATATTAATAATTTGCCTGCACGAAAAGGACAATTTTGAAATAATGTGCTCAAGGGAGAGTGGTCGCTTCACTTGTTCCCACCCTAGCTACGCCACTGCCTATTTTTAGGAACTTTCCCAGGAATGAACCATGAACCTCGGGCACGGAGCCACCATGGTCTACTCTTATATTGAATTCCAACTGTAGAGGGTTCTTTTACGTGCACACCAATGTGTACAAAGGACCTCAGGTTTTCTTCCCACCCAAACAACTTGACGCTGTCCTTGCTAACCCCGGACCGTCTGGTCAGTGAGCAAGCACCTGACTCACTGAGCCACTGTGGCCCCTCCTCTGCATTATAAATAAAACAAGCCAACAATGAGGCTGATATGCCCTCTGCCATCCCAATATAAATAGATGACACATTTATCTTTTTGAAAAGTATCGAAAATGTTCACGATGGAACTCAGTTAAGGTTTTAAAGTACAGGGTAGTGAAACTCTAAATTCTCCAGAAGTTAGAATCAAAGTTATCTTGTCCCAAAGCATCGACCAATGAAATTGCTAAGCTCTGATTAACTTCAGTGGAAATATGTTAATCATCAAACTCAATCAAGACATTCATCTAATGAACATCTGCATCAAGTTTAAACATTCTAGCTCAATTAAAAGCAGAGTTGTTATGTCCCAAATTCTTTACCAATCAAATCGTTCATCACTTAAGCAGAAAATTATCATTATGGAACTTAGTCAAGGTACTGATATAATGAATCTATACTCAGAGTTTCATTGCTCTCACCCAATTATAACCAAAGTTATCATGTTCCAAAGTCTCAACCAATCAAACTGTCAAGGCATTCATCTAATAGACACCTTCATCAAGTTTGAACATTCTACCTCAATCAGAAGGAGAGTTATTGTGTTCCAAAAGTGTGACGGACAGCCAGACGGACGGACCCATTTTCCATTTTTGTAGTCCCCTGTTTTCGTCAAAAGGTGGGGTATAACAACAACTTACTAGTGTAGAAACATCAACTGGAGCAGGATCTTCAATATTCATCAGTTCTTTGATTTTCTAATAAACAAACAAAAAGTATTTCATGCATTAGTTTTTTTTTTTATCTCTTTATGAAAGTCATTTTCAGATCAAAAAAATATTGAGCAGTACTGATACGATCTCCAAATAGTTTTACTTATTTATATGACTCAATAACAGCATAATGATTTTACTTATTTGAGTACCGGCATCTAGTAATGTTCAAGCTTACAATGTGTCTGCTTCAACTTTAATGAAATGAAATGAAATGAAATGGGGTTTAACGTCCTACTGCTCTGCTCCTAAACTGGGCTAATGAAGACGGGCATACGCCATACAGTGTGCTATGAGGGAAATTTTGCCAGGGCAGCGGCGCTACGGCCTACTCTTATATCGAATTCCAACTGCCAAAGGATCTTTTACGTGCATGTCAATATGTATATGGGACCTCGGTTTTGCGTCCCATCCGAACGACTAGACAGCTGTCCTTGTCAGGCCCTCCGTCCTGCATCACTGACAAGGGGAAACCACGCCGGAAAATCGGGATGAACTTTCTCGACCAATGCAGGGATCGAACACCTGACCTCCAGGCTAGCTAGCGAGCCAGCGTCTTACCCACTTAGCCACGTGATCCCACTGGCATCTGGTATATGGTAATGTGTGTGTGTGTGTGAAATAGTTTTATTCTACATCCGCTTCCACCGATATCGCAGGCGGTAACAGGCGGGTTCATGTATACAGTTAACACAATGACTTGCGAGAAATATGACAATCTCTGTATGACCTTTCACAATGTGTACAAATTTGACGCCACGCTTTATTGTCCAGACCAGTATTTGTTATAGTCAAAGTGGAAATAACTATCAGGGGTTCTTTTTAAGTGCAAGCCAATGAGTACGAGAGAGCTCATTTTTTCTTGTCTGTCTGACGAGAAACCATGCTATATTTTAGTTCAAATCAGGTAGGCAAACAATTTTGAGAAAATTCTCATTGAAATACAGCTGGGACATCCCTTTTAAGAAAGTAGAAATGAAATGGGGTTCAACGTCCAACTGTTCTGCTCCGAACTGAGCTAATGAAGACAGGCAGACGCCGTGCAGTTTTCTATGAGGGAAATGTTGCCTGGACAGCGGCGCTATGGTCTACTCTTATTTCGAATTTTAACTGTCAAGGGTTCTTTTATGTGCACGCCATTGTGTCATCGATTTTTTGTCCCATCCGAACGACTATACATATTCCCTTGCCAAGTCTTTCGTCCTACACCACTGGCAATATGTAGCACCATGGGTCTTTTGTCTGACGTGGAGAGCGGACCAGGAAACCGGTCGCCACATCCTACGTAGACCCATGCATCTTTTCTTACTACATATTTCTGTAGCCTTGTGATCGTCTAGAATTTGTCTCTAGCTGTCTTTACTTCTGCTTCACGTTGTGTATTTACTTCTTACAGTTTCTTAAGACGTATGTCTTACCAGGAATAACAATGCAACAGTTTGCTTCTACATTTTATATATATATAGCTGAATACAGGTATACAAGCATAGCACAAATTACAATACTAGCTAAAACCATTTCTCTACCCTAGCCAGCCTCGCGGCTGTCTAAGAACTCAAATGGTCCCTCTCTGGAATCTAATGGAAGTCCGACTTAAAACTTTACTATGATTTATTTTATAAGACTCCTGGACATCACGCACAGAAAGCCTGTTCATGGCCCTGAGCCTGTGCAATTAACGATATGATTGGTTACTTTATGTCAAATGATGCAATTAGAATAATTCCACTCACGTGTAATTCTGGTGGTAAATTATTGACACGTTTTGGCTAAATAGCTTTTTTTAATATAACAATATGTCAATTACAGACTAAGTTGATTTAGTGCACACTATATATGTGAATATGTTTGAAATTACTAACTTGCCAAAGATATTAATTAATGAAATATAAAGGCATCATATTTCTCTATTCCTTGTCTATAAATTAAAAAACAATGTCGCAACGACGATAGTGCTACAAAGGGAGAGCCATGCCAGAAAATCCTGATGAACTTTCTCGGGCAACGTTGGGATCGAACACGGGACTTCCGGGTTAGGGAGTCAACATCCTATCCACTGAACCACTGTGGCTCCAAAGTTGAAATGAAAATTTCAAACTTACATGATTGGTGCTATTAATGGCCTCCATAATTTTCATCAGCTGTGTTTCACATTGTTTCTCCTCCCGTTGATTGGTTTTTATCTCCGTGTCAATCTGTGTTCGTTTCTGACGTAACTGATTATAACTTGTCTCTAACTTCTGTACCTCCATTTTACACGCCTGTATGCCTTCCTCTACGTTTGACGTTAAAACCAGTGCCTTGTCGTTATTGTTGGAATAATATCGAAATGTAGGTGCGCAATAAATCTGATCCCCAACCAGTGTAAACGCCTAAAACGAAACACAAAATTCAATCTATTGAAGGGCTACAGAATAACATACTTGGGGGTAGATATCCGACTTACTGGACAAACAAAAGTTAATTAGAATTAAAATACCGATGTGATGTTATGCTTTAATGTTGGTGTACCATTATTTCTAATAATGGAGTGGGACACGTGCCAAACTGTACATTATTTTATACTATACCAATATTGGAGTCATGTGATGATATCATTGAAATGCACGTGCGGGATAGTGTCTGTATTTTAAGTTAATGGTACTGTGCAAGACATTGCGTAATATATTTATACAATATTTTCTTTCAACCGCTCGAAAGGTGTATCAGGCAGAGGTCCTTTCCAAACAGAAAATTCATCTTTCAGGAATTGCAGCGTTGCTGAAAATAGACTCTCATGACTTGAAATCATGTGATCGATAGAGCAGATAACTTTCCTTTATTTGAAACAAACATCTGTCAGTTATCGATGATGAAACTTACCTCTTTACATTTAATAGGTGCTTTACGTTCCATCACGTGTCTGGCTTCCTTGTTATCACTAATTAATATCACATTCTCAACACCTCTCTACAAATAAATTAATTTGTTATTATCACTAATTAACATCACATTTTCCATGAATAAATTAATTTGTTATTATCACTAATTAATATCACATTTTCCATGAATATATTAATTTGTTATTATCACTAATTAATATCACATTCTCGACCCTATCTACAGATATATTAATTTGTTATTATCACTAATTAACATCACATTTTCCACAAATAAATTAATTTGTTATTATCACTAATTAATATCACATTCTCGACCTTCTTTACAAATATATTAATTTGTTATTATCACTAATTAATTTCTCCATGAATAACATTTCTCACTTAAATCTATGTAAAACTAAATGAACAAACAAATAAATTAATTTATTATTATTACTAATTAACATCACTAAATCTGTACTCCTCTCTACCCAAAAATGAAATGGGTTTAACGTCCTACTGTTCTGACCAAATGCTGACAACCAATGCTTTCGACTGATCAGTGTCTTTTAGCTCTTGTGTTCACATTTACCAAATGAACAGGTAATGTTCCAGTCTACTTCACTCGCCACAAAACAAGGCCAATTGATCGCCAACCCCCCACATTTACCAAATGAACAGGTAATCTTTCAGTCTACTTCAGATTAAAAATAAGCTAAGAGAGAACTGGGGTTTACTGTCTACTAGACACAAAACAAGACCAATTGATCGCCACCCCCCCCCCCTCCAAATAATAAGATGAAAATGGAAAGAGTGTTTTACCTGATCTATGAGTGTGTTGGCTATGACAGGATCATCTGTTTTTATTATATCTAATAAAGATGGGTAATCATTACACTGCACTCGCTGAAAATATACAAATAACAAATCTAACACTGGGAGGTTAATACCATTCAAAATATACAAATAACAAATTTAACACTGGGAGGTTAATACCATTCAAAATATACAATAAATCAGGGAGCCACGGTGGCTAAGTGGGTAAGACGCTGGCTCGCTAGCCTAGAGGATGTGTGTTCGATCCCTGCATTGGTCGAGAAAGTTCATCAGGATTTTCTGACGTGGTTTCCCCTTGACAGCTATCTAGTCGTTTGGATGGGATTAAAAACCAAGGTCCTGTGTATGCATTGGCAGTTAGAATCCGATATAAGAGTAGGCCATAGTGTCGCTTCACGGGCAAAATTTCCCTCATAGCACACTGTATTAGGCAAATTAGGCAAATAGCCCAGTCGGAGCTAATAAATCACATAATAGGTAGCTAGGACATCGAAGATTCTGATTATAACAATTATAGGGTATGAAAATCAAGAATTTTGGAACACCTGACAGCACCGTTTTCTCGTGAATTAAGTGTTTTATTAAAATACAGCCGTGTGGAACTTTATGCATGATTCGTGCAACTAGATCTAAAGACTGGATGTGACATGCGTCCTCCATCTGAACTTGTCAATTTACAGTGGCATCATTAGTGATGGTTTGGTTTAAGTAAAATATATCCGTTGAAGAAGTACTTACATGTCTTGAAACATCATGAACATTTGACTGAAATAAAAAAAAACTTCAAACATTAAATATCTTAAATTCTAAAAAAAAAAAAAAACCCCAAAACCCCCCAAAATAAGTTCAACTACATCTAGCACAATCCCTTCATTTTTCCCCACGAGATTCATCAAGTTGCAGTCCTGAACAGCTAATTTCGGTCATAAATGGTTTATTCGAACTGTCTACAAGAAGAGAAGAGAGCTGAAGTAGAAAATGAATAAAAACTATTCTAAATACTGCTTGTCTTAAACCTGTATCATCAATACTGCATGACCTAAACATGTATCATCAATATTGCTCACCCTAAACCTGTATCATCAATACTGCTCACTCTAAACCTGTATCTTCAATACTGCTTATCTTAAACCTGCATCGTCAATACCGCTTACCCTTAACCTGTATAATTAATACTCCTTACCCTAAACCTGTATAATCAATACTGCTTACCCTAAACTGACAGGTGATAATTGATGGCCGTTTATTTGGACATTCCTTTGCAAAGATTTGTTCTAGAAGTTTTTCGTCATGATGATCATGACAACAGAAGGATGACACCAGACCTTTTAGACAACTCTCCGTAGCCAACGCCCACTTCTGATCTGTTAGTTGAAAACATGCACCTGAAAAAGAAAATAGTTTGCCAGGCAATGAAACATATGGCCTCAGCAGCTAAGTCATTGGATCCATGCAATCGAAATAAAATTTTAGACTACATATGTTAGTCCCAAAATGATCTTGTGCTGAGAGGACGTTAATGTCATTTTCTCTCTGAGACGAATTCCTTTAAAGTAACAATATTTTTATCAATCATTAAAGATAGGTTGCCAGTCATAAAAACATACGCCCACAGTAATTAATTCCTCTAAGCAGTCCACAAGAGTTGTCGCATACATTTTCTTTTATTGCTAACGCCCTTTACTAGCCGTTCAAATTATCGGAAATCATTGAAAAATTAATATGCTTCTTCTCTCATAAATATGCATTAATTTCAATACAAACGGAGCCTCTAGAGACTCATGAGCGTAAACATTGTGAAAAAGTTTAAAGTCATTCGAATGATAACTTTGGTTTCTGGATTGTCCACAAGATATTTCAAAGTGGTCAGTAATTATCTGAAATTGTTGAAAATCAATAGACTTCTTTGTCTTATGACCTTCATGTGTACAAGTCAATTGGATATGACTTTAGCCTTTAGAACGTCCACAATTGCTTGCGGACAAGGGGGAGGGGAGGGATTATTAACAACATTTTAATGTGGGCTTATAAAAACCAACCCCACATCCAGTATTTCCATGGAGTTAAAACGATCAACTACAAACATATTCTGATTTCTGCTCTAATATAAATGTGATACTTACCAAGGGGTCCCCTTGGTTTTTGATGGAATTTTCCACTTTTATGATATTCGTCAATCCTGTTCATTACAGCTGGAATATATCTACCAAATCTCTGAAATCGGTCCTTTCTCGATGCCATCAGTTCATCTAACTGGCGTTTACTCTGATTTAAACTACCTCGTAACTGTTGTTCATCTTGACTAAAAAATAACAAAAAGATTCATTCAGTCGTCAACATCCGGCAATCTGTGTAATCACTATTTCAACTACCAAATGAAATGAAGTGAAATGGGGTTTAACGTCCTACTGTTCTGCTCCTATGCTGGGCTAATGAAGACGGGCATACGCCTTACACTATGCTATGAGGGAAATTTTGCCCGGGCAGCAGAACTATCGCCTACTCGTATATCAATTTCCAACTACCAAGGGATCTTTTATGTGCATTCCAATGTATACACAGGACCTCGGTTTTTGGTCTCATCCGAAGGACTAGACAGCTGTCCTTGTCAGGCCCTTCGTCCTACATCACTGACAAGGGGGAACCACGCTGGAAAATCTGGATGAGAACTTTCTCGGCCAATGCAGGGATCGAGCACCGGACCTCCAGGCTAGCGAGCCAGCGTCTTACCCACTTAGCCATGTGATCCCCCAACTACCAAATACTAGTAGTTTACAAGTTATAGAATTGAAATAAAATGGAATGGAGTTTAACGTTTTACTTTTCTGCATCAACCAAGCCAATAAAATGAAATGGGATTTAACATTTTACTTTTCTGCATCAACCGGGTCAATAAAATGAAATAGGGTTTAACATCCTACTTTTCTGCATCAACCGGGCCAATAAAATAAAATGGGGTTTGACATTTTATTTTTCTGCATCAACCGGGCCAATAAAATGAAATAGGGTTTAACATCCTACTTTTCTGCATCAACCGGGCCAATAAAATAAAATGGGGTTTGACATTCTACTTTTCTGCATCAACCGGGTCAATAAAATGAGATAGGGTTTAACATCCTAGTTTTCTGCATCAACTGGGTCCATAAAATGAAGGAAGGTTTAATTTCCTAGTTTTCTGCATCAACCAAGTCAATAAAATGGAATGGAGTTTAACGTTTTACTTTTCTGCATCAACTGGGCCAATAAAATGAAATGGGATTAAACATTTTACTTTTCTGCATCAACCGGGTCAATAAAATGAAATAGGGTTTAACATCCTACTTTTCTGCATCAACCGGGCCAATAAAATAAAATGGGGTTTGACATTCTACTTTTCTGCATCAACCGGGCCAATAAAATAAAATGGGGTTTGACATTCTACTTTTCTGCATCAACCGGGCCAATAAGATGTGACCCTACTCCTTGTCACGTACAAGCGGGGAGTCGAAACCACACCACTTGACTCAATGACAGAACTTATGATGCAACGTGCAAGCGTTAACCATTCGGCCGCCCAACCCCTCTGAGCAGGGGAGATCAGACTGGAAAATCTCGAAAAACTTTGTGTGCCAACACAGAAATCAAACCTAGGTTCTCCTGGCTAGTGAGCCAGCGTCTAATACACTGAGTCATCCCTTGTCAACTCAAGTTATTATATCGAATTACACCTACCCCAAAGTATAAACCTCATTTTTTAATCTGCTTGTTGCAGTTAAATATTGTTCCCTGTCATGTGACGTTGATTTGTTCTTCGCCTGGAGATGTTCCAAACTTTCTTGTAACTCGTTAATTGTTGCTTGTCTTGCCAACCGATCAGCTTCATAGTTAGTTTGTGATCTGAAATTAACAAAATTATACTCAAATGATCTTCATACAAACCAACAGCAATGCTAGGTTCCCACTATCCCGATTGAAATCGTGTTTTTAATCGTGGAGTAATTGTGGTGATCCACTATCCCGATTCGCGCTACGATTGAAATCGTTGTTTTAATCGTGAAATAATCGTGGTGATCCTATCAGGTCTTATTATATGTTGAGGACAGTCGTAGCAATCTTGTTGATCATATAGAAATGTATCCGAACGTATCTGCACGTACCAGATCGTGGATTCAATAGGGACAATCCAATCGCACGACAGTTGGAACCTAGCATTAGGTTGATATCTCTTACCTTTATCCAGGTCTAGGACAACTGACCCTTTGACATCTGCCCCCCACACTCCAATAATTCCCCTCGCCCCCAGGACAATATTTTTACCCTAGCACCATACGGTATCTAGTCTGTTTTCTCTTCTAATGGACAGTTTATTGGTGACCAGCAAGCCTGGAAATAAGGCACCTGTCACTGACAATGTCAGGCACTAAACCTCTGGTGCCTGTCATTTTGTCCGGCACTGATTTGTCTTTTTTATTGATATTATTAATACATGTCCGGCACTAAGTTGAAAATGTCAGGTACTATTTCATTAGTGCCTGACATTTTGTTAGGTACACGTAAAACCATTATTTCCAGGCCTGGTGACCAAAATCAGCTGTTCAATGGAAGTTCAATGGAAACTACAGGTTTGTTCTAGCCGGAGTTTTTTTATAAGAATATTTTCTAAATTATTTCCAATGCAGGCTAACAAAAATCAATCGCAATTTTCAACTTCAGTTAGATACTGACTGGTAAAATGGGAGGCCTGAACCAAATTCCATATTGACAGGCAAAATGTGAGGCCCAAACCAAATTACAAATTGACTGGCAAAATGAGAGTCCAGAAGCAAACCATAAATTGACTGGCAAAATGAGAGCCCAGAATCAAATTGATTGACAAAATAGGAGACCCAAACGAAATTACAAATTGACTGGCAAAATGGGAGACCCAAACGAAATTACAAATTGACTGGTACAATGGGAGCTCTGAACCAAACTGTAAATTGACTGGTAAAATGGGAGCCTCAAACCAAATTACAAATTTACCTGCAAAATGGGAGCCCATAACCAAATTATACATTGACTGGCAAAATTCTACCCTAGAATCAAAGTATAAAGATAGGTTGCCAGGCACCGAAAAATACGCCCACAGCAGCTATATCGTCCGGGCAGTCAACAAGAGTTGTCGCATATTTTTACTTTTTTCGGTAATGAAACATTTAAAATAGATTAAAATCTGATTAAGAGTAACAACTCATTAAGTAATTATCAGAAAACCATTAGAATTTGTTTGGTTTTTATAAAGTTCTGCCCCATACATTTAGTATACAAAACTTTTAACATCATGGATTTAGCTGTTCAAGTCATAAAAATTCATTGAAAATCAATATACTTGTTTGTCTCATGACCTTAAACACTGTGTATAAATTTAAAGTCAATCGGATATTAACTTTAGCCTCTAGAGCGTCCACAAGATTTTTTAAAGTGATCAAGGGCCATAACTCTGGCAGTAATTATCGGAAATCTCTGAAAATCAACAGGCTTCTTCGTCTCATGACCTTAAACACTGTGTATAAATTTAAAGTCAATCGGATATTAACTTTAGCCTCTAGAGTGTCCACAAGATTTTTCAAAGTGATCAAGGGCCATAACTCTGGGGAAAATTATCGAAAGTCGCTGAAAATAATAGGCTTCTTTGTCTCATGACCTTAAACACTGTGTATAAATTTAAAGTCAATCGGATATTAACTTTAGCCTATAGAGCGTCCATAAGCAATTTTGGACGCCGGACCGACGGACCGACAGACGGACGGACGGGGGAGACGGCAATATACGACCACATTTCAAGTAGTAAAAACTACTTACGATGATTTAATCTCATCAATCTTTTTAATGACCAATTCTCGATCACGCTTCACACTCTTTAAACCATCTTCATATTTACGGAAAACATTCTACAAAAATAAACCATTAGACATTAGTGATATACATTACATATATCTACCATACTTTAATCAAGCCTGGACATAAAGTTATATCTTTAACTCACCTGTGCTTGTCGAACTTGTTCTTTACTGTCCTGGACGTTTTTTTTCTTGGTATGTAAATCCGGTTCTAATTTCTTCACCTCATCAGAGATAGCCATTACTTTATCATTGATCTCCTTCTGTCTCGCTGTTAACTGTTTGATTTTAACCTGAAACAACAACACTGACATTAGTAAACAAGCAAACATTTTATCACAAACAGCTTACTCCATCACTAACTGTTTAATATTCTCTTTATATGTCCGGTTTCCTTCCACCCGTATGCGCAAGCGAATTATTGAAATAAAATTAAACCATATGTTAATCCCGAAATGACCTAGTTTGTGTCGAGTGGAAGCAATATGATTAAAACACAGATCCTATTTCGTTTCGTTTTTATAGTTCGAAATTTCATTTTACTTGTCTTTGCTACACTATGATCTGGAAGATTTGTTGCCAGGGTCTTTAATGACTCCACCAAAGGAAAGTTGAGGGCTGGTAAAGTGTTTGCAAAAAGTTGATTACAAATTGACACAAACTCTGACAAGAATTTTAATAAGATTCTGACAAAGACATGGCACAACAGATAAAATATTCTACAATTCCAACCTTTGAATTAGCTGTTTTTTGCTGAATTCTGGGTAATTTTCCCTCTTCATCTTTGATTTCTTTCTCAATCGATTTAAGAGCCTAAAAACATGATACAAATGATGGTAGAAAAAAAAAGAAGTTTGACAATACCATTACCCTCTAGCAGGACAAAATTTCTGAAATGAAATGGAGTTTAACGTCCTACTGTTCTGCTCTGAACTGGGCTAATGAAGACGGGCATACGCCATACAGTGTGCTATGAGGGAAATTTTGCCGGGGCAAATGCAGGGATCGAAAACCTGACCTCCAGGCTAGCGAGCCAGCGTCTTACTCACTTAGCTATATCTCGTAACACACTGCATGGAGTCTGTCAGTCTTTATTAGCCCAGTTGGTGCAGAAAAGTAGGACGTTAAACTTATTTCATCTCATTTTAAAAGTCATCGGAAAAGCTTCATAAATTTTTTATATAATGCAAGTAATTATGTCAACATATCCTTTCCATGAGTATAACACGATCCTGAATGTCAATGTTACCTGCCACAGGTAAATTTCAACGTTAGCGATTTCAGTTATTCTCCGCGGGTAGTCATAACTTTACGCCAATAAACAAGCAGTGACGTAATTTTAGTCCTTCTGCTCATAGAAATATAGACTAGAATATGAGCAGAAGGGAGAAAATGACATCATGGATTGTTTATTGGCGGAAAGTTACGACTACTCACAGAGAACGACAGAAATCTACCTAGTTTCTTTTTGTCCAATCAGAATGACTAGATACTGTTTCATCCTGCACCAATGACAAGGGGAAATAATACTAGAGAACTTTCTCTGCAAGCACAGGATCGAACCTTGGACCTCCTGGTTAGTGATCCAGCACCTTACTCACCGAGCCACGGCGGCTCCCTGAAAAGCACAATAGAAGCTGTCATGAAGTATTTTTGTGCTATTCAAATGGAGACTTTATCTAAACTAATATTTGTGACTGCCGTTTGTCTATCTGTCAAAGGGGGGTTGGATGGCCGAATGGTTAGCACATGCACGCTGTATCATAAGGCCTGACATTAAGTCAAATGGCGTGGTTTCGAATCCCCGGTTGTACGTGACAAGGAGTAGGGTCGCCTGTCCAACCTCGTGGGTTTTCTCGGGGTCCTCCTGTTTCTTCCCATTACTAAAGACCCCTACGGGCAAGCGAATTACAGAAATAAAATTAAACCATATGTTAGTCCCGATATGACCTAGTTTGTGTCGAGTGGAGGTTAAACCCCATTTCTCTCCCTCTCTATCTGTCCAGGGTTGGCGGCTACACTAGGGCTGACCCGAGGCTGAAATTTGGTGTACAGGGGTAGCTGAAACCGGGGAACAACAAAGGCTAGGTGGCGTAGGCCTACCACTTTCGTTGTTCCGGCCACAACCTGGGCAGCACCAGGTTATCTGCTAGTTATTAATAAAATGTTGTGTTTCAATATCGACTCACCCTTTCTTTCTCAGATACAATCGACCAGGCTAACTCTTTCTTTAACAACTTTTCTTTATCTTTTAATCTGTCTAATGCATTAAAAGCTTTAAATTTCTGCTCCCATTTTAAAACTTCTTTCTCCAAATAAGGTAAGGTCTGAAAAAAATATATATCTTTCAATTTCAATGAATAGTATGTAGGTATTTTCATGGCGTGGCATAATATCTTGTTCTATGTGACAAGACTAATCATTGCTGTTCTGAATTGTGTTTACGTCAGGCAATGGTCACGGTACACCAGCTCTAACTTTCTACCACAGATGGTGCAACATGTGGCAATCACTTGTTCAAAACCATGTATGAGCTTCATTATGAAATCTTGAGATACACAAACTGAAAGTAGCATAGTAGTAAACATACAACTGTCCGCCCTACATTTCAATGTAACGAACCTCTTAACTCTGTTATCCTTGAGCCTTAAAATCATGAATATTCATCAAAACCTAGCAGAAAATGTATATTCGAACCCTTTTTTCGATTATTTTTCATATATATTTAGCCAGGTGTGCCGCTATTTTTTCATATGTTTCAAGGTGTGCCATTGGCAAAAAAAGGTTGAGAACCACTGCTCAAAATGATCAAGATGAACTGACAGTTTTTATTTCAAATAAAATAATCTGATCGCTCACCTTTGTTTTACGGTCGATGATCTCGTTAGTAATTGTCTTCTGTTGATTGGCTGTCGCGTAATCTTTCTTCATCTGATCTAACTGGGTGGCTTTTAGAAAAAACTGAAATATGTAATTAGTACATCTATCATCAGTTTCGCCTTTTAATTCCATTAACATAGAATAAAAATATTTGTACCGTGCCAGAGCATTCGTTTTAGTCATATTTGACACAAATCTGCTACGTCATCACTGTCATGTAAATGTTTTAAAGACTATGATCGTCATTGTTAATCCCTTGCAAATTACACTGAAACTTAAATCTTTAAAAGCAGCATCTGTACGAGGGGTTGGATGGCTGAATGGTTAGTGCGCTGCATCATCAGGTCTGTCATTGAGTCAACTGGCGTGGTTCCATTCACCGGTTGTGCGTGACATATGATTCAATTTTATTTCAATAATTCGCTTGCGCGTTGGGGTCTTTAGCAGTGGGAGGAAAACGGAAGACCCGGAGAAAACCCACAAGGTTCGACAGGCGACCCTACTCCTTGTCACGTACAACCGGGGAATTGAAACCCTGCCAGTTGACTCAATGTTTCTGTGACAGACCTGATGATCTAAAGCACAGGCAATTGACCACTTAACCACCAAATGACAGGAATTTGTGATGACCATACTTTACCTTGTATTTATCTTGTGGACTTTTAGAATTCAGAAAGTTTCTACTCGTATCCTGATTTAAAATGGCCACTGGATTATCAACCTGAATATTGAACTGATCTAAAATATGCGCCAATTCTTCCCTTTTATCGGACACTAGTTTTCCTATAAAACATTAAAAGAAACATAAATATACAATTCTCCCCTATTATCTCACACGAAATGAAATTGGATTTAACGTCCTACTGTTCTGCTCTGATTGGGCAAATGATGACGAGCATACGCCATCCAGTGTGCTGTGAGGGAAATTTTCCCGGGCATCCGCACTATGGCCTACACTTGTATTGAATTCTAACAGCCAAGGGATCTTTTAAGAGCACACCAATGTGTACATGAGACCTCGGTTTTCCATCCCATTCGAAGGACTAGGCAGCTGTCCTCGTCAGGACCTTCGTCCTGCACTACTGAAATTCATCGTCAACTGATTATTTCTACTTCTTTATCTGGTCGGATGTTCTTGGAGTTTTTTACTCACCTTCTTTAGATCTCAATTCATAACGACTTCCGCCTTCAGCGAATAATTTACGCTGTACCAAGATGGAATCCCCGTATAAATCTGGTTTGTAGGCATCCAATCCTCGGTTTCGTAACTTCACTTCTATTTCTGCCTTTCTGTTGAAAGATAAACCCACTTTAAGTTATGGAGATATAAAGAAAAGCAATTGAAATGAAATGGGTTTATCATCCTACTTTTCTGCATCAACCTGGCTTAAGGAAAAATTTGCCTTAACATCGGTGTTTCCACCTTGTTTTCGTCGAATTCCAACTGTCAAGGGAACTTTTAAGGTGCAGGCCTACGAGTTCATCCAATTTGAACGATTAGACGTTTGTTTCCCCTGGCCAGACCCTCTGTCCTGCACCAATACGGAAAAACAAACCAAGTTAGAAAATCCTGAGGAACTCTCTCAATGGAATTGAACTAGGGACAGCCAGCATCTTAGTCACTGAGCCATCTGTGACTCAGACAAAACTATGGCGTTTAAGATCTAGTCAACGCATTACTTCAGTTTTCTGAGATTTTGTCCAGAGAGAGAGTGACACAAACTAGGTCACTTCGGGGACCAACACATGGTTCAACCCTATTTCAACAATTAGCCTGTGCGTAGGGGTCTTTAGTAGTGGGAGGAAACCGGAGGACCCGGAGAAAACCCACGAGGTTGGACAGGTGACCCTACTCCCGGTCACATACAACCGTGGATTCGAAACCACGCCAGTTGACTCAATGACAGACCTTATGATACAGCACGCACTTACCATTCGACCATCCAACCCCCCGACTTTTGTCCAACATATTACAATAGTTTACTTAAAGGGGCATTAGGTAGGATAGGTAAAGAGCTAAAAATAGTTAAAAAATAGATGATGAAATAGGAATATGTTGAAAATTTCAGTCAAATTACTTCACTCTGAGCCTAGATATCAGCAATACAATAACATTGTCATTGCTAGCATTGTTATGATAATAAACAAAGTCTTGATTATCCATTTTTATTATTTCATCAACCGCAAAACGTATTCAAATCTACTAAATATCGGAGCCATCTGATGGCATCAAGAGTTGATTATGGCCTTGGTAAGTTAATTAATGCCTAATTAATAATTTATATAGCATTTAAGGCCTAAAGAAAGACCTTCAATAGGCAGATTTAGCTCTTGCATAATGCCTGTTTAAAGAATTCATATTTTAAAGGTGGACGATGAAGTGTTTTTGGGGGCCAATTTAGATAAATAAACAAACCTTTTCCCAGTTTTAATAAAAGATTTGACAGAAGAACCACGACTGGTTACAGAGGCTTTACCACCTAAACCAACAACTACAGCAGTTACCACCGCACTTTTACCACCTGGAAAATAATCAAAATCTTTAGAAACAACAAGAGCTTTTTTCCTGACATTAATTGCTTTAACATTAGCAAAAGATAAGTTGAAAACCAACAAAACATACGCCCACACAGGTTGGTTGGCTAGTTCTTCCTAGTGCTAACATTTATTATACAATACATTTCATGAACTTTCACCCTGTGTATAGATTTCAAGTCGATTGGATGTTGGATGATAACTTTAGCTTCTAGAACTTCCACAAGATTAGAAAATTGATGAAGGTCGAACAGTAGCCTATATAAGGCTCTCAGCACTAATTGTTCAACACCTCATCAACAGAATACCACCATCATCTCTAGGAATAAATAGTTAACGTCATAGTTAATAAGCCTGGAAATAAGGCATGAAGTATAAAATGTTGGATACTAGTTCATTAGTATCTGACATTTTGTCAGGTACACAACAGAGAGAGAAATGGAGTGTAATGTCTACTCAACATAAACTAGATCATTTCAAGGCATGTTAATTCTTATTTCAATAATTACCTAGCACGTAGGTGTCTTAAGCAGTTGGGGGTGACCACGAGGTTTGACAGGTGACCCTACACTGTACTCCTAGTCATGTACAAGCTTGGGATAGAAATCACGCCACTTGACTCAATGACATACCTTGTAAGCGCAGACCTTACAATCTAAAGCTCACACGTTAGATCAGACTACCCGACCACCCAATCTGATTAAAACACAGATCCTACTTCGTTTCATTTTTATAGTTCAAAATTTCGTTTTACTCGTCAGACATTTGATTAACCAATAAGATCCTTGTGTCACTAGGATCTTATTGGTTAATCAAATGTCTGACATCATAGGGTCTAAAGCCACTCGTATGAACTCTGACGTGACCTATTGCAACAACCGGTCAGATCTTCATGTAGTGTAGGCCATCGAAAGTATAAAAAAAACGAAACGAAATATAGATCTGTATTTTAATCAGATTGCTCGGCCACCCACCCATTGTCAGGTACAACAAAGAATAAATCGTTAAATCATTGTGTTTACTTACTTCCATTTCGACCCACCACAAAGTTAACATGTGGCCCTAAACTAACGTCTAGACGACTGTGACACATGAAATTCTTTACCGAAACTTTTTCTATAATCCCAACTTCTCCTTCCTTTAAATCCTGGAGATAAATATAAACATGTATTATAATCTTCAAAGCAACAAAACCTGTTTGCTTTTCATTAAATCAGATGATAACTTTAACCTCCTGAGCTTACTCAAGATTTTTCAAATTGATCAAGGGCAATAACTTTGACATTAATTATCAAAAGTATACAACCACATTTAAGAAAACATGGAAATCTAATCGGCCATTGTAAGGTTAATGTTAATTTGACTTCAAATGGATGGATCAATCTGTTTCACAGAGATCTTTTAATATCTCTGTTATAGATGACTGTTTCGACACGTGACGTCACATCACGCGGCATCAATCATTGGCTCAATAGCGCGTGCATTGTTTACATAAGACGTTACTGATTCGGGCTAAATGGTGAATTTTACTTATTTTAATACCCATTTACACTAAATAGGAAATGATTTTTACCTACAAACAATTCAAACGTCTTTATGTATTTTTCTAATAAATGAAAAAAATGTTTTAGAATTTAATCTGACAAAAGAAAAAAGTTAATATTCGGGACTCATTAAGTCGCATCGATGTCCTCCTTATCAGTGATTGTAGCGGCCTAGCGAAAATTCACTGCTGATCAGTGTGTGGATGTGTGGATAGATAGATGTCAATTGTTATTTGAAAGCAAACATGCTATGTTATAATTAGCAGGATACCCGGCTTCGCCTGGGGCCCAATTCCCCCAGGAACCAAGTTCTTGCGGGGTCTAAAATCACCCAGGGCCCAAATTTGATGGCCTGAAACATTCATGGGGTTATGCTGGTTAATTTGATACCACATATGTGGGGGTGGAGAGCGGGGACCAAGCATTTTCGCTTGTGGCCCTTCCCAGTTGGCCCGGGCCCAAATTCGATGGCCTAAAACATTCCCTGGGTCATGCTGGTTAATTTGATACCACATATGTGGGGGTGGAGAGCGGGGACCAAGCGTTTTTCGCTTGTGGCCCTGCCCAGTTGGCCCGGGCCCAAATTCGATGGCCTAAAACATTCCCTGGGTCATGCTGGTTAATTTGATACCACATATGTGGGGGTGGATCGCGACAAGAAACTGTGATGGGAGAACTCATCTTTGATTTTATTTATATAGAAGATAATTAATGAACTAACTGTTTGAGGTTGAAAATCAGGATTTTGTGAGTTATTCATGTCACTATTATCGCTAATGCTGTCATCACCATTTTCTTCTTCCTCATCACTAACAAGCCGTCTTGCTGACTTCCTCTTCTTGGAGGATGACACATCTGCGTCATCCTTTGACTTTCTTTTAGACATCTGTAATCAAACAAAATTTATAATAAAATCACACGAACACAGGGGCAGAAACAGGAGTTTTGATTAGAGGGGGGCCTGGATGAATCCTCCTTCGAGGAAATTTGGTTAAATCGAGTGTTAAGGGTGATTTGTGGAGCATATCTCGACCTGAAAATAACATTAAATAACGTCGGTTACATCACCTGCACAGCTGACAAGAGGAAACCACAAAGGAAAATCCAAAGAACTTTTTCAGCAAATAACAGGAGCAAACACGAGACCTCTAGGATACCGAGTCAGCATCTATTTACTGAGCCACCGTGGCTCCCTTGCCCGTTTGGAAATCTGGATTTTCAAGATATACTGTAGTTATTTACTGTATATACATTTATGAAATGAAATGAAATGGGGTTTAACGTCCTACTGTTCTGCTCAGTAACCTATAGCTACGAGAACATAGCTAAAACCGTTGAGATATACTGATGTCGTCTGATGTGTTTGTTTTTAGCTACGATTGGATGCCTTTGGTTTCAAGTGGCAAACTTAATTTCTTTCTTAATGCATGTAACATCTTTAAAATAAGATAAGTTTATACTATTATGATTAATTAAACTTACAGAGGCCAATGTAGTGGCACAACTACTGCCTAACTCCAAATATTCATGTTTAAATTAATGAAGCATTTTTGTGTCGGACATTTAACGCCATCGAAACCTATTCGTCGTTACAGTGCTTTAGATTGCCCTTTTGATTGGCTGTTATAAAAGCCTTATATTTAGCCAACGCCTTCATGATGACAGCATATCGTTTAAAAAGATGGCGGTCTTAGTAACGGCTCGATTTTAAAAACAACGATTTGTACCTCTTTCAGGTAGGATTATATGCTAAATTGTAGTTGGGTGTGGCAGAAATAATATAAATAACAATAATCAATCGTTGTTTTGATTAAAAATATTTTTAATTTTGTTTACAAATGACGGGTGCAAATCGCTCCTGCATGTGCTACATTGGAGTTAATAGCACCACCTCTTATCTCGAAACACAGAGGGTTGAGAGATAAGATTTGTTATCTAAGTAACCTAGAGAGTTAATTATGGGCTTGCCATGTTAATATACATGTATGTGTAAATAATAGTATATATAACCTTTGAAACCAAAATAATGACCTACAAACAGCCGATTTACGTCTTACATAATGCAAATGAAATGAAATGGGGTTTAGCGTCCTACTGTTCTGCTCCGAACGGGGCTAATGAAGACGGGCAAACGCCATACAGTGTGCTATGAGGGAAATTTTGCCCGGACAGCGGCACTACGGCTTACTACTTATATCGAATTCCAACTGTCAAGGGGTCTTTTATGTGTACACCAATAAGTACATGTGACCTCGGTTTTTCGTCCCATCCGAATGACTAGACAGCTGTCCTTGTCAGGCCCTCCGCCCTGCATCACTGACAAGGGGGAACCACGCCGGAAAAATGCATTTATAATGACTGTTCCATGTAGAAAACAATAATCTGCATAAATTTCTAAAGGTGGTATTATTTATGACGTATCCGTTTCAGGCCTACACCGACAGGCAACTTAAAATGTGTGATTCGTCCATGGAGTGGACATTGTGGATTGAGGGGGGGGGGGGGTGAATACAATCTCTCTGCCCCCTCCAACTCCCAACCCACACTATTTTGAAAAGGGGGGGCACCGCAAAATGAGGGCACTGACCGCGGAGACGCGGCACACCGCTGAGAGGGGGGGGGCCCAAGAAAATTATCCCGTCATTTCCTACATCTGTAGCCATTCCAAGAGCTATTTGGCTGATATTTTCGTCTAAGTAAACGTTCGGAAATCTTTGAAAAAGAGCCTTAAAATTGAGCAAAACTCGAAAATTGTCAAGGCGAGCAAGGCATTATGATGGGAAAAAAGACGAATCTATTCCCTAGCCACTTCACTATTTAAGCCTTGCAACTTGTACTGTCCACACATGAAACAATGCTACATCAAGTTGCACTAATGCGCGTCGGTGATGGGCATGAGTGTATAGTAGTATACGCCGCCGATGCTATCATTGATTTCTGTCTATAGTCACTCTATATAGAATTAGGGCACCGTCAGCTAAACAACAAGAATTCGTTTGAAAGTGGAAGCATTAATTAGACCAGACTGGTGTGTTGAGTTGATGGTTTGAGTCATTTGGGATCCCTGCAACGGGTTGGGAACGGACATATTTGGGTCTGAGAAAAGGCACTTTCAGCAGTAAAAAAAACACTGTCGAAATGATTATATGAAAGTATAAACTATAATCAAAGAACTATTCTATGCCTATGGCTACGTACATAGTAATACTAAAATAAACATGATTTATTTTTAGATGTCATGTAGATCTACTCATAGTCAGTCGACTAATCGGCTACGGACACGACAACAAATTCCCTAATATTAGATAGAGCGAGCTACGTTATCAACATTTAAAAATTCTGGTAAATTTAAGAATTAATATTAACATACGAATATCTTCAACTTTTTTCAATTATTCCTTTCGTTGCGTTGAGAATTACCTTGAAAAGTGGCGGGAAAGAGAAACAAAGTTGGAATTTCCCAAAATGTTTTAGTCTTGAATTACCAGACACTACTGGTAATACCATCTCGCCTAAATCGTACAGAGATATTTCGCCCATTTTGCGAGGAAAGAAATGAAATGGGATTAAAGTTCCTATTGTTCTGCTCCGAGTGGGCTAATGAAGATGGGCATACGCTATAAAGTGTGCTATGGGGGTATTTTTGCCCAGACGATTAAACGTTGTCCCTTGCCAGGCCCTCAGTCCTGCACCACTGACAGGGAAGAACCCCGTTGTAAAATCTGATGAACTTTCTCGTCCAACAGGGATCGAGCAAGGGACCTCCTGTTATCGAGCCAACATCTTACGCACCAAGCCACCGGGACTCTTTGCGAGGAACGAAGATTGTGATAAATAATCCTAGAATAATTCGAAAAAAAATTCAAACAAGTCATCTAAAAAAACCCACCATATTTTGAAATATCACCAAAATTCTCGCAAGCAGGGTTGTCTTTCCTTACATTTCACACGCTTGTCGGGTGCCTGGCAAGAATCAATCGCACCATTGACGTAGGCCTACTGCTTGATCTATGAACTTGAATTTCAGTAGATATCTCGCTGGTTTAAAAATTTTGAAGAAGATCTTAAATTAAAATTGGTCCACTCACTACTCAGACAGGTTACATGTGTGTGAACATCTTGGTTACCTCAGAAGGGTAGGACAATTCTGTAATCACTTCAAATTTTATTTATCTTAAGTTTTTATTAAAAATAATGTATCTTGAAAAATTGCAACTGTGAAAGACTGGTTACTACATGCCGCACTAAAATGTAAATCATTGGCAACATGTCTCGTTATACCAGATTATGAAAGGACGAATTGGTTATCCAATTTCTGTCTTGACAAACAAGGATAAATCTACTAAAACGAAAGTAGAAATTTGGGCAATATTTACCCACACCGCTTTTTTGGCGCTGTCTTTGTTTTAAAAAATATCTGATCAGTTCAATTACATAGAAATACATTTTATTTAATAAAATATCATTTTGAAACGAATTTGAATAGTAAAACAATATTCAAAATATAATTTCGTTTCACTTCATCTCCACTCGTTCCATCATATTAGTAATTCCGTTCAAAATGAAAACTTCCGGTAGAGAAAAACAAGCATGACTGCCACAAATAAACGCATTGTTTACGTCGGTTAGTGTTTTAATTAATATTATTTATATGAATATCCTGATTCCACAAAATAAAACAAGTGATTTCATCTTTAATTGTAGTGTGATAATATTTCCTCAACTATTGTCCATGGATTGCTTTTAACTTCAATTTGATTAGTTTCATTTGAGTCGAGATATTTTTGTCAACATTGGAAAACTTATTCACACCGTTTCGTTTACGCAGACTGGGGTATAATGTATAGATCTAGTTGTTCGTGTGGGAACTAGGGATATTTGTTTCCTGAAGATACTTAGCCCCCATAATTTTGTACAGGAATTGTTTGAAAATGTAGGCCTATCCCCTTTCAGGCCTTTGTCTCGACACAAGTTTTTGGCATTCATGGTTAGAGTGACTTCTAAGTTCCATTAATTGACATCTTATCCTTAATGTAAACTCTAAATAAAAAGGATCTATGGATTCTATGTCAACCTTGAGTTTTTGAGTTACGTAATTCTATATGGCAATAGGTATCGTGAATCAAACCGTCATCTTCCAACCTCGTGGGTTTTCTCCGGGTCCTCCGGTTTTCTCCCACTGCTAAAGACCCCTACGCGCAAGCGAATTATTGAAATAAAATTAAACCATATGTTAGTCCCGAAATGACCTAGTTTGTGTTGAGTGGACGTTAAACCCCATTTCTCTCTCTCTCTCTCAAACCGTCATCTACTGCAACACCAATTGGTTATCGTTATTTCAATTTTCTTATCGCCGAACATATGATTTTTATTCAAACATCATCATATGTTCAAAATGGAAGACATGGAAAGATAACATATATGTGCACTCAGCACTAGGTCATGGCCACTCAAGTAGGTTAGATCATAAGGCTGACCTTAAAAATATCTTTGTTTCACCAAACCCGACCCACAATCGAGGAGAAGGGTCGGTAGGTCGGGTTTTTTTCAGATTTTTTTTTTAAGACCTAATTTGACAGCTTGATAATTTTCCGGGTGCAAACATTCGTCTTATTTTATTGGCAAACAAATCAATGACATCGGGATTTTTCTTGATGCACGACTCGCACACAAATTGCGACAAACTCACGTTTGAAACTCCCTCAACACGTTTTTAACAATCGTGCGGGTTGTGCCTTCATTTTTCTCGAAAACGGATATTGAAAATATCGTCGTCATGGTTAAAACGACGCCCCACAGACATAGAGGCAGAATCATTTCATGGGAATGGAGGTGCTTTCGTCTGCAACCATTTTGTTGAGAAGCGACACCTATGACGCTTTCGTCTTGATCAACCAGTTTCAATAATGAATCAAACCATAGCCATAGTAAAGGGAAATAACTCTCGTGATATATTTCAGGTTGACACACAAAATAAAATAAAAAGATCGCGGAAAAGTGCAATAAAATAATTTGAGTCGGGGGTGGTTTTAGTTAGTCGGTCGCGTTAGGCGAAACAAAGATATTTTTAAGGTCTGTCATTGAGTCAAGTGGCGTGGTTTCAATCCCAAGCTTATTTATGTCATAGGGATAGCTAGGTTTCTCGGTTTTGTCTGGTTACCTCCTCTCTCTCTCTCTCCCCCCGCCCCCTCAGTGTAAGAAAAATAAAATAGAAATACTCACATCTCTCTTTCTCTCCCTCTCTCTTGTTCTCTACCCACCCCATCACCCCTGTGTAACTAAAATAAAATAAAGGTGATTAAAGACCCATTTTATTCCTTTCATTCTAGTGATAGATTTATCTTCTAATCTCATGTTGTGATTGATATTGTAGGAGGAATTGCTGAAGAAGTCGATGATAAAATATTACATGCTGCTTTTATACCATTTGGTGACATTATAGATATAAATATACCGCTTGACTATGAAACAGGTAAAACATCATATCACCAGATTAAACCATTGGCATTAGGATCGATCGATGGTATGAATGATGGTAGTTTATGGGTTAGATTTATTTCATAAGACTAACTTACAAGTTTGGTCAAAGGTCACAAGATGTACACAGGGCTAGTCCTTATCCCAACCCTAACCCTGGACCTAGCCCAAACTCTTGCCCTAACAACTTACAATCACTCTAACAATCACATGCCCTAGTCTCAGTGACTTTGAAGAAATCTTGAGTTGGCCTTAAGATAAGAATTAGAGAGAGCGAGAAATGGGGTTTAATGTCCACTTGACACAAACTAGGTCATTTCGGGACTAACATATGGTTTAACTTTATTTCAATAATTCGCTTGTGCGTAGGGGTCTTCAGCAGTGGGAGGAAACCGGAGGACCTGGAGAAATCCCACGAGGTTGGACAGATGACCCTACTCCTTGTCACGTACAACCGGGGAATCGAAACCACGCCAGTTGACTCAATGACAGACCTTATGATACAGCGCGCACGTGCTAACCAGTCGGCCATCCACCCCTCCACCCCCCGATAAGAAATAGATCTAGCTGTGGTTTATGCTACAGTTGGCAGTGCTGTAAAATTCCATTTAAAGTCGCTGTCCGAGATATTTTGGGTTGTGTCGGAACAGGCTAGAGTTGATTTGTACATGTGGTATATCTAAGCCATGGTACATGTGTCGGAACAGGCTAGAGTTGATTTGTACATATAGTATATCTGAGCTATGGTATATGTGTATGTTTGACAATGACTAAGCAATATGATTATGAAGTAATGAAGATGAGAATTTGCCAATAATGTTGAAAACCACATGATTTTTGCCTTTTGAGAGGGGGCACAAAAAACGGAAGGGTGCACAAAAACTCTAAACCCATGATACAAAATGTGTCATTACCCCCTCCATTGAAAGATACATTATTGGAGATTAGATAAAGAACTGGCAGCTCTCACTAGAATAATTAAAAACTAGATAATGTAAAGGCAATTTGCTGAAAATTTCAGTCAAATTGATCCACTATGAACCGAGAGTTGATTATGATCTGGATAAGGTAATTAATGTCTAATTAATAATTTAGATAACATTTCAGGCCTAAAGAAAGACCTGCAATAGACAGATTTAGCTCTTGCATACTGTGTATTTAAGAAAGCCCGTTTTTATACACCCACATTAAAATGTGGTTGTATATTGTCGTCAGTCGGTCCGGCTTGTGGACGCTCTAGAGGCTAAAGTTAATATCCGATTGACTTTAAATTTATACACAGTGTTTAAGGTCATGACACGAAGAAGCCTATTGATTTTCAGAGATTTCCGATAATTACTGCCAGAGTTATGGCCCTTGATCACTTCAAAAAATCTTGTGGACACTCTAGAGATCAAAGTTAATATCCAATTGACTTCATATTTATACACAGTGTTTAAGGTCATGAGACAAAGAAGACTATTGATTTTCACCGATTTCCGATAATTAATGCCAGAGTTATGGGCCTTGATCACTTCAAAAAATCTTGTGGACGCTCTAGAGGTGAAAGTTAATATCCGATTGACTTCAAATTTATACACTGTGTTTAAGGTCATGAGATACAGAAGCCTATTGATTTTCAGTGATTTCCAATAAATACTGCCAGAGTTATGGCCCTTGATCACTTTGAAAATCTTGTGGACGCTCTAGAGGTTAAAGTTAATATCCGATTGACTTTAAATTTATACACAGTGTTTAAGGTCATGAGACGAAGAAGCCCGGACGATATAGCTGCTGTGGGGGTATGTTTCGTTGCCTGGCAACCTACCTTTTCTTTTGGCTCCATCACATTTTGTTCTGTGTAGGATCGATAGTTATTAAGGGCGATCTAACCTGGCTGTGTGTATGAGTTGATAATGAGATGTGTTTGGATGTACGTAATATCAACTATTTCAAAGGAAATTAGACGTAAATGTTTGAGATTTCATAGAAATAACATTTTTCATTTCAGAAAAACACAGGGGATTTGCTTTTGTGGAATTTGAAGTGGCGGAGGTAAGTTGTAGCTAATGTTCGAATGTTAAAGAAAATAGCAAAACATTTACAGTGTTTTTACATTTAACTGTTAGGGAGGGATTTGGCACAATGGTTAGAGAGCAGGATTTCTTTTACAAAACAATTGCATGTTCAAGGCTCAGTTCAAGTTTTTCTGTCCTTGAATAAGATACTTCATCCCTGCATTCCATTCCACACAGCTGCAAATGGTTACCTGTAGGAAGATGTACATCTTCAATTGCACAAAACTATTGCTCTTTGGGTAGCATAAGTTGGAGCTGAGGGATAAAGGGAGACAATCATGATGGACTACGGCATATTTAAAGTAGCTAAGTCTCTAACTCATTATCATCCAAAATCTTCGACATTGAAAACACGAATTATTTGTCAATTTAAATCAACATTGATGTTGTGATCTTACGTGGAAAAGATGGGCTTCTGATATCCATTAATTAAGACAAAATAAACATGTTAGCGTTGGTACACGAATCGTGTACCATGGTGCATTTCAGCGCCATTTTTAAGAAGGGACTCGGAGAAAGAGGCTAGATATATTCCACAAGTCATGTCCAACGGCAATGCCACATTCTTATCTGGAGAGCATGCACAATAAATACTATCAGTATAGAGTGGAATAACCAGATGCTAGAGATTGCCTTTCGATTGAGACTTCTGGCATATTTCGCCGAACATAACTAATTAGAAATTGCAGTAAAAACCGAAACGATTGAATGTAAATCAGTTTATATACATTCACATTACATTATTATATGCGTTGCGACCTTTTTGTGTCAATTTCTAGATCCAAAATATTAGCGATTTAATAGCTCATTTAAGGGGTAAAAAATTAAAATGAGGTATATGACCCAATATAATGGAAAGCACAAAAATCAGTTCCTAATTGAATACAAATTGAGTTAACAAAATACCCTATTAATGAACTTTGAGTTGTTTTATTTACATGTTTAATATTTTACAGGATGCAGCGGCTGCTATTGATAATATGGTAAGATATGGATTCAGTTTTTATAAACCTAAATTAAAATGAGGTCAGATATAAAGATCATCACCCCTGTATATACCTTCACCATACCTTCACCTGTCTGTTGGTGGTACACAATTTATGAGGGGAAGAAGCTTATTGATTTTTCATGATATGCTATATAATTACTCACATAGTTATTGCCCTTAGTCAGTTTGGAACATTTTGTGAATGCTTTAGAGGTAAAAGTTATTTGCAACTAACAGTGGCCATTGTCATCTCCTAATGATGTCTGCCTTGCAATTTGATGCTTTTAAAAATCAGACAAAATATTTTTAGACAATTATTCTTCTTCTGTTAAAATTATTTATTTGGCTGTTTCTTTTGTGTTTTTTTAGAATGAATCTGAATTATTTGGTAAAACTATACGGGTTAATTTGGCCAAACCAATGAGAATAAAGGAAGGGGCCTCAAGAGCAGGTATAATAGAATTTATAAATCTGAAAATGACCATTATAGAAGTGACTCAGAGTTAAAATTTTCACAGACTTGTGGACTTTTTAGTAGTAGTAGATGGGTTGGTGAGTATGGCTCTCTAAACAGGAGGTCCTGGGTTGGATGGATCACTGTGTTTGCCGAGAAAGCTCCTCAGGACCACCTCGACAAACACTGGGGTCAACCCAACAATCTCCTGTTTAGTCATGTTCCTGAAGCAATGACTGCCAGTTTTACCACATCTAGCCATTGTTAGATTGATCTGAAATTCCTGAACTTATCGGAACGTTATCCCTCTTTACTGCAGACACTTGAACAATTGCGTTGTCCAATCAGAGGTCGTGACACAAACACACTCAAATTAAACATGACGACTTCCATGGAAACCTTGACATTAAATGAACTTTGAACTTTGCAAGTCGATTATCACAGGTATACATTTTAGCTGGAAAGCGCAAGACTTGGTATTCCCGATGATATTTTCTATCAGTAGCCAATCGAAATTAATGACGAAATATGCAGGCTATGAAGGGCTTGGTAAGATGTACAGAGTTAAAGGGAGATCAAACCTTCTATTGAAGATGCTGTTTAGTGAGCCAGTGCCTTACCCACTGAGTCATTGTAGCTTCTTGGACATTTCAGGTCTTGACCAACCATCTTAATTTAATCCACAGTGTTTCTGATGCCATTCTTTATCTCTGTTGGTTTAAATGTTTTAATTTTTTCTGACAGTTTGGTCTGAAGATACATGGTTACAGAAACATGCTGGGGAAACGTTAGATAAAGAGAATGATGGAGAAGGGGGAGATGGGGATGGGGAACAAGGTACCAAACGTCCTGCTCCGGATACAGAACAGGTATGTTATAATCAATCTGATTGGATCTGAGTTAAGCTTTGCTTCTCTTTCTTAAAGACCCTTACAGGTGCTAGCTATAGCTTTCGTCTCAACCCCTCTGTCTGTCCGTCTGTCATTTTGTAATCTTTGAGGTATTCAATTGAAGGTAGATAAACTAATGCATATAGCAGAGTTACAGATTAAGTATGTGTTTTGTGAGATTTCGTAATTCTCTTTTTTACTGAATTATGGCACTTTGCTGAGTTGAAGTCAATAAAAATTCTGTTTTCTAAATTTTTTTGATTTCAACTTTCAGATATTTGATTAAATATTGCTTCACTGCTGTATAATAGCAGAGTTACATATCTGTTAATTTATTTTCAGAGTTATGGCCCTTGGTTGACTTAGTATCTCCTTGAAGTTTTCACACACATTTGAAAACATCTCAGCTGAACTGAACATTTTATAGCTGACTGTCTTAAGTGTATTTAACATTTTGCTCCCTCTATGGGGAAATTTCGGTATTGATGCCTAAACACAGTTCTTTATGATGTTTTTCACAGGTTGTGGTACCAGCCAAGAGATCTCGTGGAAATCCACAAGTTTATATGGATATAAAGATTGGTAAAAAGAATTTTGGTCGTATTATTATTGAATTACGGGCGGATGTTGTCCCAAGAACAGCAGGTTTGTATTCATTGCACGTGATTTTTGGGGACCAAAATGTTCGTCCTCCTGGCTGATGTAACAGTTATCCATAAGAAATCTAATACTATGGTTGTCCATGAGAAATCTAATACTATGGTTGTCCATGAGAAATCTAATATCAGGTTGTTCATAGGAAATCTAATACTACAGTTGTTCATGAGAATGAACTGTGGTTGTCCATGAGAAATCTAATACTACAGAATACTGTGGTTGTCCATGAGAAATCTAATACTATGGTGGTCCATGAGAAATTTAATACTATGGTTGTCCATGAGAAATCTAATACTATGGTTGCCCATGAGAAATCTAATACTATGATTGTCCATGAGAAATCTAATACTATGGTTGTCCATGAGAAATATAATGCTATGGTTGTCCATGAGAAATATAATGCTATGGTTGTCCATGAGAATTCTGATGTTAAGTATGCAAAGGCTAGTTATTATTTCCCCTTTGTTTGTACCAGACCGGAGGTTAATAATGTTTTATGTTATTTACAGAGAATTTCCGATGTTTGTGTACTCACGAGAAGAGTTTTGGTTACAAAGGTTCAAGTTTTCACAGAATTATTCCATCTTTTGTATCCTTGTTATAAAATCAACATTGACCTAAAATATCACCATGGTGCCTGGATAATCATGCTGAGTATAATGTTATTTGTTAGCTGGTGCCAAAGGATATTCCATCTAGAGCCAACAGGAAACGTGACTTAATAACACAGAGAGAACATTGCATTTTTGTCGGTTGACTCTAAACAGTAAATCTTATGCAAGAACCAAAAGGAAAGCAAACATGGATAGATAAACCAGCACGCGGAAGTTTTCATCAATCCTTCCTTGAAGTGTCAAATTTGACAATGAACCCCTCCCACGTATATGGCGCTATTGCGTGTCACATGTGCAGCTCAGTGGTTCTGTTGGGGCGATAAGTTCTTCATCTGTGAATATACTCCCAAAACATGTCAAGTGTCCATGACTATTTATCATATGACAACCTGCATAGGTATTTGCATTTCAATATCCCCTACTTTGTTTGAAGAGTATATATTTCTCTGTGTGTAGAAATGCGACGACGTAATAAAACCCTAATAGTAAGTGCAGGGGGGCTGCACCATAAATAATTCACACAAAACAAATCTACAGACAAGACACAATACGCAAAAATCACAAACAAATGAACATATCAAATTAACTGAATGGATCCGGGAGCTAGCCTATATAATTATTTTTATTCCATTGACCTTTGACCTTAACTATATGTAAATTAGATGTGTCAGGGAGGTGATTTTACTAAAGGTAATGGAACAGGAGGAAAGTCTATATATGGTCATAAATTTGAAGACGAGAATTTTACACTGAAACATACAGAACCAGGTTAGCTCCCTTTAATCATTATTTCCTCCATCTTGACTGAAATGAAATGGGGGCTTGATGTACACGCTATGCAGTGGGCTGCAGGGGAAATTCCCGGATGTATGGGGATGTGCTGCTGCTAGTACTGATGATGATGTATTGGTGAAGACTCATCCAATCGACTTGACTTTTATACTGTGTTTCGGTTTAACAGATGAAGAAGTCTGTTGATTGTCAACTCCACTATTAACAAAAACCAATCAAAGTTTGATTTATGCTGATAATTACATTAAGAGTTGTTGCCCTTGATCAGTTTTTAGTGTCTTGTAAATGCTCCCATTAAAAAGAAGAATAAACGGGCAAGAACCTTTATGGAGTGCTTGTCGTGTGTGTATGTTGTGTGCCTTGGCAACCCATCATCAAGCTTGGAGATGCTATATTGAAAGCTGCTATGGGTGTATGTTTCATTGTCTGGTAGCATACCTTTATGTGCTGCCTGTATTGTATTTGCATATGTCCAGTTTGTTTATTATTCCGCGATAAAAAAAAGTAACAGGAAGGATCTGTCCCTTTTTGGATTAAGAAGCATATCTCAGGAACCTCTCAAGGTATGGTTACGAAACTTTGTACACTCATCAACCTATTATAGTAATTTTGCTGTCTACCAATAAGAAAATTCAGGGTTGTAATTATTTTCGTTCTTAATTGTAGGAATATTATCAATGGCTAACTCAGGACCAAATACCAACGGTTCACAATTCTTTCTTACAACAGAAAAAACTGACTGGTAAATACTTTCAATATTTCATTATTACTAGTGCGCCCTTTACAGGTGAAAACGCATGGTCATTTTTATGGCATTCTGTTAATTTTTACTATGACTCTCTGTTGATTTGAAATCAATGAGAATTCTGTTTTAGCTTTGAGGTATTTCATTGATGGTTGGTTGATACACTGCTCTATACTGTAGATCATGTGATCATCAGCCATTTTATGTGATCATCAGCCATTTTATGTGATCATCAGCTATTTTGTGTGTTCAGTATCTTTTATGTGATCATCAGCCATTTTGTGTGATCATCAGCTATATTATGTGATCAGTATAATTTATGTGATCATCAGCTATTTTGTGTGATCATCAGCTATTTTGTGTGATCATTAGCTATTTTATGTGATTATGATCCAGATTTTAAAGTGTGTTATATAATCTAAATACTGGTATTTAGAAAGTGCTGAATGTCGTGAGATTTATCCTGTATTTATCTACCACTAGGTTAGATGGTAAACATGTTGTGTTTGGTAAAGTTATAGAAGGAATGGATGTTGTCAGAAAAATGGAGGTAGGTAAATATAACTTTAACACAGAGATCATTGCTACGACAGATATGTAATGAAGATTTAAAGAAATGGAAGTGACGCAAAAAATGGAAAACAAGAGTTATCCTTTTATTTAACTGACTGAAGTAAAGAGCAATGACAGATACTCAGCCCGATTTCTGCTCACTGATAATGAGACTGTGAGAGGATATCTGACAGTTCAAAAGGTCTGTGCATTACCATGTTTTTATTAAGTATAGAATGAATAAAAACAAGTGGATGTACGGACCATCTCTATTTTTATCCTTTTATCTAGTGACAGTCAATTATTTTTTTTTTAATTGTATATAATTTAATATTTTTTGTTTGTTTTTTTTCAGTCATATGGTACAAAAGGAGGAACTCCTACAGAAAAAATATCCATTGTTAATTGTGGGGAATTAGTCTAAATTAAATACAGTCATGTTTAATAACTTGTTATGTCAACTAGACATTGTTAAGAATTGCTTAATTCTTGGACTTTGTAAGAATGACAGTGTGTCCCACGGTTATTGTTAAGAAGATGTTGAAATAACATATTTTATCTATTTCTGTGTTTGTATCAACAAACTTGAAGTGGATACATTTTATTGTTACAGAAATATTAGGGACCATTTTGTCAATGGAAAAAAGGCGGTGAATATGTTCAGAAAAACAAGATGGCAACAACAAGATGTCAATGTCAGAAAATATTTACAAATAGTGTTGAAAGGAAAAATAATCTCTCTGCAGCTGTTTATGTAGAAAGTTTTATTATAAAATGTAAATATTGTAAATAAAACTCATTTTTCTACTATCTTTTTTCATAATTATACTGTATACAAGTTTAGTGGACGTTAAACCCCATCGCGTTCCTTCAAACTACCAAATCCTGACCCATTTTCATTTGAATGTCAGTTGTATAGACCTAAAAAACAAGGCTTTATCAGCCCGAGCACCTGTTGTTCACCTGAATGTCGACCGAGGGGAGGTTCTTTCCCCTCCCCTTAAATTTGAAAATCGCTCTCCTTTACAAAGTCATTGGGGGTTTATTATCATTTGTGAAACCAGAAATGACCCCATTACATGCAGTTATTGATCTTAGAACAATTTCCCATACACACAACTAATCACTCGCCTTAATTTCTAAATCACTCTTCTTAACGAAATTGGGAGAGTTTTTTTAGGGGAGCGATTTTTTTCAATTTGTTGATTGAGGGGGCTTTTATTTGCTCTCCTCTGAAATTCAAACAACGACTGAAAACGTGTATAAATATTGTGGGCCCAGTGTTATTTGAACCATGATAAATCGGTCACTGGATATACTTTTGGTTGCCACTTTCCCTTGGTGCCCTGTGGACATGCTTATTTGCATCATGCTTAAACTAGAGCAAAAGTGTCGATTTTTGTGGATTGATACAGTTTCATTGACATTTTTTTCAGCAGGTGCCATGTTAGGAAACATTGGTTTAGAGAACTTTAAGCAGAACTAACAGGGCTGCTCTTTAGAAGAGATGCTTCCGTGAAATAAAACCAATAACTAAACATTACAATAGTAATCATACAGATTTCCACTGTTTCTTTGCATGTCCCACCCTAGTAATTACAGGAGTGGGGGGGGGGGGGTAAGGTCGTCTGTTCAACCTCGTGGGTTTTCTCTGATCCCCCAGGTTCCTCCCACAGCTAAAGACCCTTACGTACAAGCGAATTATTGAAATAATATTGAACCACGTTGGTCCCAAAAATGGCCTAGTTTGTGTCAAGTGGACGTTTAACTCTCTCTCTCTCTCTCTTGTGAATACTCCAGCGAGTACCGTTGCTACGGTAATAAAAATTCAACGCTACATCTTCCAACACTCATAACTTCACCCAGAATAAAGTAATTTGAATGAGTTATGTCAGGTCGTATGCATAATAATATTATGGGATGCACTGTACTTTTTATAAAATAATTTTTAATGTCACTTAATTTATACAGTTCTATAACTAGATATATTACATTCCCTCTTTCTAGATAGAATTAATGTTCTTTTATATTCTTTAAATGAAAATATGTAATTTGGACATAATAAAATGACACACTTTATCGAATAACAATTATTATTGTTTTATTACACTGTGACGTAGAGAGAGAGATGGGGTTTAACGTCCACTCGACACAAACTAGGTCATTTCGGGACTAACATATGGTTTAATTTTATTTACATAATTCGCTTGCGCGTAGGGGTCTTTAGCAGTGGGAGGAAACCGGAGGACCCGAATAAAACCCACGAGGTTGGACACGTAGCAACAAGATTTCACAAGTCGTTATCAAGAATATTATATACAGCTGTTTATCTAATTCTTCCCGTCTTCATTAGCCCAGGTTGGGAGCAGAACAGTAGGACGTTAAACCCCATTTCATTTCATTTCATTATCTAATTCTTACATAATGCGTAACGGCGCGCCACTGTCGTTTGTCACTAAAATATCAAATTTCCCAAGGCTTAAAGATGCATAATATTTCAAAAATAGATAATGAAAAGGGAATATGTTGAAAATTTCAGTCAAATTACTTCATTCTGAAAGAAGTTAGGGTTGTTTTCATCCTCGGTATCCCCCAGTGGTCTCATTCCGTTCCACTTCACTAAACCCTGGGTTAATCCATGGGGGGAGACACGTATTGGCATGTTTCAGCATCCTATATATACGGTGGCCTGTTAGTGTCATGCGTTGATTTATACACTTTTCTTGTAATTTACCTCATATGAGAAAGATTCAGTCTGTAATACAATAAACGATTGTTTCGCAAATAATTCAACAAAATTATTTGTCACATGTCAAGACAAAAAAATACATGTCAAGACGAAAAAATTATATACTCGATTTTTTCTCTTTCCATACAGAAAAACGGTCTTGCAATTAATTCCGCTTTGGCTTGCCATAGGAAACGTCTTTCAGTAATAAGCAGTAATTTTATTCCACGGAATTGCGACCTGTGTATATTTATATCGAGACAATAACATTTACTTGTGTACAACTATATATTTACATGTAATATTAGTATAATTTCCTATGTTTACATATATTTACAACTAGGGTTTATTTAGTAATAAAAACCTCCAACCTTATATCAAGTGTGTAATAGTTTCAACAGATACAGTAACTGATATGATTGTCGACGGCAGAAACCATTACTTTAGATCTATTTTTAAAGTCTAATGATACAACCAGTAGAGGGGAATTGGGACCTAATTCTGTGAATGCTTCAGCGAGCGAAACGTGGCTCAAAGTATTTTAGTACGTGTACAAGATTAGATTACGTTTTATCAAATTGATCAGATGCCTTTTGACAAATTTTCCCCTTCATAACCGTAAAAACCATATGTTAGTCTCAAAATAATCAGAGCATTGTGTTAATAAGACGTTAAACCCCATTTTTTTGATTCCATTCAATCGATTATCGTTGAAACCCTTTTTTTTCGATTGAAAGAAAGAATTGCCGTCTACCGATTGGGATACTCTGGACTATAAGAAAGTCTCGATTTGAAACTGGACGTGGGTGATAACAAACTTCGGAGTCTTTCAAACCCGACCTCCACATTTAAATGGTGGACGGAATCTAAAACCTGCCTGCCCCGGACGCCCTTCACCAACCAGGTCGTCCCATTATTTATTAATTGCTGGCGGTCCCAGTCTCCCCCTCCCTCCCTGGGCAGTGGTGTACACGTTGGTTGCTGGCGGTGCCAGTCTCCTACGGGCAGTGGTGTACACGTTGGTTGCTGGCGGTCCCAGTCTCCCCCAGGCAATGGTGTACACGTTGGGGTGCTCGGAAGCGAACATTTGGAAATTGAATAGTAGACATACACGCCGGGGTACTCGATTGAACGTTCCGGAATTGAATTCTTTCAATCCCCAAAATAGTAACAATTGTGTTAAAAGGTGGATTTATGCTACAACACATGCGTCGACTGAATAAGTAAATATCTCAACCAACTATGCAGCCGAAACCTTTTAATTACGTCACGATTCTACTCACACCACCTCCGTTATCGGGACTGACAGAACTGTGACGGAACTGAATTCCGCGTTACTCGATTGCAATTCTGTCAATTCGGGACGTTTTGGACTGTGAATCGAGCATCTCCATAGAAATGAAATGGGGTTTAACGTTCTACTGTTCTGCTCCGACTGGGCTAATGAAGACGGAACATACGCCATACAGTGTGCTGTGAGGAATTTTGCCCAGACAGCGGCACTACGGCCTACTCTTATATAGAACTGTCAAGGTTTCTCTTACGTCCCACCCGAACGACTCGACAACTGTCCTGGTCGGACACCCCGTCCTGCGTCACTGACAAGGGGAAACCACGCCGGAAAGTCATGACGAACTTTCTTGTCCAACGCAGGGATCGAACACAGGATTCCAGGTTAGCGGGCCAAAGTCTTACTCCCTGAACCACCACGGTTTCTCCATTAAAAGAAGAAGATGGAAGGCCAACATGTATTGAAAAGCTGATGTTAGAGATTTTCAGTACGAACCAATTCATTCATTTGTCATCTGTTTCAGTGTTAAATAAAGGTTAGAAAAATCGTTATAAAAAAGTTGTACAAATATTTCTCACGGTGTATATATGTTACACTAATAAATATATACTAGAGGGCGCGTGTTTATGTTTACACGTGCATGTGTGTGTATATATAGATATGTATACAATGTACGTGCCGTGGTATACATATGTAGTTGATGAAAACATATATCTTACTAAAATCACGAATTCGAATAATATTATTCAATTGATGAAAGAAAACCCGGTTGAATCCTTTGACGCTGAAAATATATTTTGACAAGGCAGCGACTCTCCAATCAACAAAATATAATTCATGGTTTATTCATGTTTATTCATTTTTATTCCTTCACAACGTTTTGATAAAAGAACAAAGACTAAAGAACCCTTACAGGATGAAAAAGACAATTGGGAAACTGACCAAGGCAGTGGCGCGCCATTCTGTTTAGAATTGAACGCGACCCACGTCTTTTCCAATTGGTTTCAGCCAGAAAATGAACATTCGAAATAAAATGATATGAAATGGAGTTTAACGTCCTACTTTTTCGCACCAACCAGGCTACTGAAGACGGACACACCTCATGCTGTGTATTATGAGAGTATACGCAAAAGAACCCCCGACAGTTGCAATTCGAAATAAGAGTAGACCGTAGCGTCCCTGTCCGGGCAAAATAAACCCATCATAGCACTTTATGGCACATGACCATCTTTATTATCCCGGTTATATCTAATTGATAAGGACAACTTCAAGTTTGGTCAAAGGTCACGAGATGTATAAACAGGGCTAGCGCTAATCCCAACCCTAATCCTGGACCTAGCCCTACTGCTTACCCTAACCCCAACCTACAATCTCGCCAAAAATCACTTGCCCTAACCATATTTACATCTCAGCGACCTTGACGAAAATTGAGTTGGCCTTAACAAATAGATCTAGCCGTTCAGAAAGGTAGGACGTGAAAATCCCACGTGTAGTATGGCTATGGTATTGTATCTAGTACCACAGTGAAGATGAGTATGGGTATAGTATTGAATTTAGTATATACTAGCGGATAACCCGGTGCTGCCCAGGTTGTGGCCGTAACACCGAAACCGGAAGCGGTAGGCCAACGCCACCTAACATATGTTACTCTTCGGTCCGAGCTACCACTATTCACAAAATTTCAGCCTCGGGACAGCCCTAGTGTAGCCGCCAACCCTGAACAGACAGACAGA